TGATTCTGCCTTCTAAACAGTAGCTTGGTCTGACAGTCTTCCAGTTTGGACAGCCAGGGCAATGGCAAACTCTGACATGAGAAGTGTCCAGCACGTGTGCCACAGATTTTTGTAGTTCAAAGGTTGTTTTTTTCTTTCTCACAAGATTAAATGCCCCACGTCTAAAGTGATTTCAATATGAAATTATTTCTTTTTGCTAAGTGTCACCTTAGTTGCATTTACTCACATTCCATATTTATAAACAAACTCAGCCTTCTCTTATGATTGGAAAGCACCTGCAAGTTTATGTATTTATTCTGCCTCTCAGGTAATATTGAGGGTGCTTCTAGTCTGTGAATCACTAACTCATTCAGTATGTATTTATGGACACACAGCAGAGTTATAATGCTCTGGAAAAAATAATCGCCTCGAAGGTTGGCATATCCAGATGGCATTTTGGCTGTACCTTTATGGCCTTGAGCAAGTTTTGAATCTGCAAAATGGGGATAAGACAACACATCAAATCATGAAAAGTAGCACAGAAACAATTTTGTGCAATGTGCACTGTATTTCCTCTTTTATTATCAAAACCATTTTATTGAGGTATATTTGACAACAAGAATCACATGTTTAATATCTACAGTCCCGTATACTTTGACGTGAAGCCATCAGAACAGGTGGCTTTTTAGTCCCATTTGCTAGTCTGTTTCTGTGCTGACAGACCTCCAACACTGCAGTGGTATTTAACGAAGGTGTTGTTTAGCATTTAAGACATATTTAAAATGAATGTTATTTGTTTTCATTTATTTTTAATTGTATTTGGCATTAAGAGAGAAGTAAAAGTTTAGAATTTATGGCACAAGCATGCAGATCATCTTGACTGCATAGTGCCAATACCAACCCCGAATTCTCAGAGAACGTGGGCCCTGATGGGGTAAGAGCTGTTGGTCTCTGCTTTAGGGATGTTGAGAGGAGTCAACTCTAGGTGCAGCCCATAAGGCTCTCCCAGTGCAGGAGTAATGGAGCTAGAATTTACTCTTAACACCACAATCCTGGGTAGGAGGGGGAAAGAGGCAAAATACTGATGAATTTCTGAAGATGCAGTAACTTCCGAGCGTGGAAGTAGGCTTCAGGAGGACAATGCTGTTTATCGTCTCCTTTGTGTCTATCTGGGGTAGGTGTGGAGAGCAGAATAGACAGACATAGACCCTGCCCATTAATAGCTTAAAACCTAATACTGTGTGCATCCTGGTCTGACAGGTTGGGCGTCTGCCCAACTTTTTTTTTTTTCTCCCTTGGATGGCTTCCAACGTTTTGAGGAAAGAATAAGTGTGCAAGACCCTGTGTTTGGACACCAGCCCAAGAGTCGGAATATCTCACTGACGCATGTGAATGGGGGAAGCCCCCTCTGGGTTGCATGCCTGGATAATAAGGCTCTCATTCACTTCCATGTCTAGGTCAGCCTTGCCTGGCTGAGATGTACAGCAGATTGATAGATTACTCCTGCACTGCAGGGGCCTCATTCCCATCATATCCATCATCTTCTGCTAGACCAAAGGACAGATGAAATTTAATCAGATGTCAAAGGGGTCCTCGGCAGGAGATTTTGAGAAAACTTGCTTGATGCTATGCTGTAATGTTACAGTGATCCTGAGGAACCAGAATGTTCTTTTGTAGTGAGGCTTAATGGATCATGCACTGTGTGAATTCTGATTTATTTTTAAACATTCTTGGTCCCATTGGCTCCTTTTTTAATAGTTTCCCTGTAGCCTGTTTATTGTTACAGATGTTACTTTTCAATGAGGTCATTGAGCTTTCCTTTGCTTCCAAAGGCAGTATTTACCTTTTTATTGCGGGGTTGGCAAGGCTGCTTGGAGAAGACTGCTAATGTGAGATCAAGGTTAGGGTTTCAGGCCCCAGGAGACTAGCCAGAGAAGAAAGCCTCTTCAATGTTACACACACTCACTTCAGCCAGGTGGAGAAGAGCGGTGGTCTGCTTCCCACAATGACCTTGACGAAGGCAGGTGGCTTGGCAAAGACAAGGAGACTGATACTGTGGTCGCAGCTGGCTTGACTTCTGTGTCCCCTTCTTGCCTGCCCTGAAACCCTGAGAATACTAATACTAATAATAGTACTGACCCTGTCTCCTTATTTGTATACTCAAATGATTTTTGTAGAATTTTTGTGAAAATGAAGTGTGCTACAGCTCCTTGGTATGTATGTTGGACACATGATAAGAAGGAGGACAGAGGTGATAACTTAGCGTGTGTCTTTTCCCTGAGGGGCAGCAGTGATGGTTGAAATACTTAGTCTCTCCCACCCATGTCAGGGAGTGGATTATGGTGTCATTTCCCAGTGTAGGATTGTTGGCCAGTATGGGTGTGAGCAGTCACAAAGTATTCTGTTTCTCACTCTCAAATAAGTGAGAACAAAAGCATAAGGCTTTGGCAATGCTTAAAATCCTGCATGTAGAATGTTTTTCATGGTTTTATTGGAAATCACTGATTTCATTTAAACACCCAAACCTTTAGGCATGTTAGAAGATATGTTTGCTGATAGTACATGCAGCATCATTGTTACAGGCTTGCACAGATAGATGGCTTGTGGATATTTGCAAGAGTAGTCTTAATCAGAACCTATCTGATTATATATAACCCTGTGTGACCCTGGGCAGACATTCCTGGAAGTATGTCTGGGCTGACAGAGATAGCACTATGTGGCACAGTCACAAGTTATCCAGAATATTCTTTGTAAGCTGTAGGTGGTGATTGGCATAAAATGAGAGGTCATTGGACCTATCTTGACCTGTGCTTCCTGCTTGGGGTAGGGGTAAGCAGGGTAGGCTGTAAAGCCAGACTTGACTCTGTACTTATCCAGAAGAGAGATGAGATTGACATTTTTCCCCATCGACTGTAATACCAACCCCATTGTTTGTTTTTGAGAGCAGTTGTAATATTTGCCGTGGCTCATAGAGATAATCCTGTTATTGATGGCAGAAAGGCATCTATTGATGAAATGAAGCTTAATATGCTGAACCTCACTCAGATGGAGTAAGACTAGGAACCACATAGATTATCACTGTGCATTCCACTTTATTCAGGGCCAAGTACATGGTATACTCTGTAAGCCATCCTTTGACAAGTTTTATAGAACTTGGGCCCAAGCCCTTGTCTTGTTCAGTCAGCACTTCTTACAGAGATCCTACTGGAGAGTTCTCACTCCCCTGTCCTTGCACACTGGTCTCATCCTGGGAGCTGCTAATGACCTAATGGCAGAAGCCCACAGTTGTACGTGTAGGGCATCTCAGATATTGCCTGGTAGGTAATAAACACTCACGCTGTACTTGTCCTGACACCATCTCAACAACACAGGTATAAATTCCCCACCTTCGAATTTCCGTCACCCTTCTCTGTAACCTCCTCTAGGAACTTTGGCAGATACCATCATACCTCATATTACACTGTGTATTTCTTATCTGTTTCAATTAGTCTGTCTTACCCAGGTAAGAATTTTTTCTTTGGAATCTCTTTGCTTCCATGCCACCGAGCAACTTCCTTACCATTGTAGGCCAAGAAATAATGAAAATGGGGCCCGGCGGCATGGCCTAGCAGCTAAAGTCCTCACCTTGAACACGCCAGGATCCCATATGGGCACCAGTTCTAATCCCGGCAGAATCATCAAACGGAAAATCTTCCTCTCTGTCTCTCCTCCTCTGTGTATATCTGGCTTTGTAATAAAAATACGTAAATCTTTAAAAATAGGAATAAAAAAAGAAATAATGAAAATGAGTTAATCAAAGCCATAGGGTCTTATGGAGTAAGAACCAACGTAAACACCACAGCTCAGACAGCAGGGCTTCCTGCATGTCTCAGATAAGATCTCAATGCAACCAGTGTAATAAACATTAGGGTAGGCCGACCTCCATAGTTAATGCCCATAGGATTGGTTTTTTGCTCCATTTCCTTCTAAACCTGCTGATATACCAGTTACTACAGTAGGGCTTGGCTTTTGTTCATCTTTGTACATCTTAGCAGTGTGTTAGAAAGTGATCTTTACATGATCAGTGTGTAACAAGTAGCTAAGTTGGAAGATAATGGAGGAAAAGGGTGTAAGAACTCAAAATAGAGGGAGGACTGGAGGAGTGGAGGAGGGAGGACTGGAGGAATCGAGGAGGGAGGAGGGAGGACTGGAGGAGTGGGTAACAGAGACCTCATGGATGTTGTGATGTGGCACACAAGGGGCTGGCACTTAGGGCTGAGAGAATGGCCAGGTGCATAGTAGTACGGGGGTGCAGTATCTGCAGAAGGGGAGATAAAGTGGCATGATGGAAAGAACAGAGGAGCCAGGACATCCCAAGTGGGTATTAGTCACTTACTGATGAGGTCTTTGTCCCATTGTTTCACCTCCCTTAGCATATTTTCTCAACTCCAAAATAGGGCTAATAGTATCACCCACATCCCAGGGTTGTTTGTGAAAGAAATGAGACAGCACATAGGAAGATCTCTATCCCAGGACTTAGCACGTAGGAATGATCCCACAAGTAACAGCTTTGCTCAATGATTGTTACACTCGTTCATGCTGTATGCTGTTCCCCTCCTGGTAAAGGGAGACATGTGGAGGCAAGGTCATTATTATAGGTCTAGTCCCCATGGAGATGTGGCCCATTAGCATCACTGTTTCCACAGTTTGAGCGTGTTCTCCAAGCTAGCAAATGTACACAAGCCCAACAGGGACCAGTCCCACAAGGGGAGAGATTAATGGAAATGAATGACTTGTGCTGGAAAAATAATTCTGGACATATAATGTCACCGAAGTTAAGAAAAATAGCTTCACTTAACTGAAACCTTACATTTTCTTGTTTCTGGGGTATTTTTTAAGAGACCAAAAGAAAATGTTTTGTGGAAAATTTACAACGCTGTATCTAGTGGGATTTCTTCATACTACAAGCGGTTTATGCAGAACAGCTGCCTGCATGCACCTGTGGATTTGGTGGTTGTATTTCACTTTTCTCACTCCTCCAGTTCTTGCAGACAACCTGAAATCCAACCCTGGAATTAAGTGGCAGTATTTCAGCTCAGAAGAAGGAATTTTCACTGTTTTTCCAGCACACAAGTTCCGGTGTAAGAGCAGCTATGAGCATCGTAGCAGGTATGTTGGCATGCTTGCTCAAATGTTCACTTATTGCTAAAAAGTGATACAAAAGCAGCACCAACTCCCCACTTCCCTCTTTCCCACCTATAGCATTGCCTCTGAGCTGTGCATTCAAAAACATGTATTGTCTTGAAATGATCTCGCCACTTAACCTTTGCAGAAATATAGATTAAAGGGCAATTCATAGAGGTTAGAGCATTTGGGGAGCAATGTAACAAACCAATACAATTAATTAGTGAAATTAAGTTGTGTGAAGCTACTGTAGAGCGTTATAAGTTTCAGACATGTTTGCTGAAACATAAGTGGTACCTTCTCTGTAGTGCGATGTGGAACTTAATCTTGCAACAGATTTCCAAATAGAGTTTGTGATTCTTAACTTTTGCTTTCTGTAACAATGCACTGCACTACACTTTCAAAGCTTATCTACAAATTTCAACTATTAGAACTGTTAAGATTGTCCAGAAAGCATTGGATTCAAGATCACCATCAGCCTGCCTTTCTCCAAGAGCTGGGATTGTACCACCCTATCCTAGCCAGCAGGAAGGAAATGGCCAAGTCATTTGTATGACGAGTCTCATCCATTTATAGATACTCCCCACCCCAGGCAAAGGTACTTTCCTTTTGACTCCCATTGGTTTCCCATTTGCAGTATTTGGTGCCTGAACATCTGGAGCTAATGCAAGGTGCCTACTTTTTCAACCCACTTTATAGAGTCTAAATAAGCAGTCATTTTAGCTTCCCTTCATCTTTAAATTATATCTAGGATTTTTTTCCCCAAGGAAAATATTGTTTCTGTGCTTTTCCTGGAAAGACATTTTGATTGTCCATCATAACTTTGGCTTCAAGTCAGCCTCATGACAGGAGAGCAAAGGCCACCATGAACCATCTAATGTTCTTAAGCAACTCGGAAGATGGATTAGATGGCATGCTGCTTTTAACCAGTTAACTAAAAAAGGGAAAACAAATCTGCATTCACCTGCACCTGTGTTTCTACCCTAACACTGCCTGAATCAGAATCAACCCTCCAGCTTCTTTCCTGGCTAAATAACCCACTTTCCTCCCCCTGCTGGTTGTGACTCCCATGTCTTTGTCCTCATCATTCTGTTCTCGTTCTCTACATCCCTTAAGAGTGGAATACATTTCACAGCACAGTGACACAGGGAAGGGGCTTGGTTAACACGTTAACTTTTACCATGATTTATTCATGTATTCCTCTTGGTATAATAATGCTAACAAATAACTGTGTTTTTCTTTTTTTGTGAATTCAGTTGGAATGAGGTGGGGCATTTTGAAGAAAATCCTCTTGCTTAGCCTTAGAGATCGAAAAAGTTAAATATTTGCCCCTATTGTGAGTGTTGGGTGACCAGATTCTCCTCCTCTCCCACCCCCTCACACACTTCTCTCTCCCTGTAGCTACTGCTCTTGGACTCTTTTCATCCCATTTCCTTCTGCTGGCTCAATGATATTGACTAGTGAAAATAGAATGGTCTTTAAGTATTGATGCAAGACTTTTGGCTTGAGAACAATTAGTGTGAACTTGGACAGATTTCGAAGCCTTTCTTAGATACTTGGCCTCCGTTTTCTAATTTGTGCCCAGGCTTTTGTGACTTAACTAGCATCTAACATTTCACAAAAAAAAAATCTAGTGTTTCACGGGTGTCAATAAAGGAAAGAATTCTCTGGAGGCTGATTTGCTTTCGAAAACTCCCCCTAATTTGTTCCAGCTTTAAAACTGTGAATAGAGACCTCATTAAACCTCTTCCCACAAACCTTCGTGCCCCGCACATTAGCAGAAGGCTGCTTTTGATAGCAGGCATTTCTCCTTTGTGGCAGTTCCCCACCACCCTTCTCCTTAATGTTGGCAAACAAAACCTGGCAAGAAGAGTCTCAATCACGGGCTGGGACACACGTTTGGATGGCATGGTTTTAAATATTCCTCTTAGAAGAGTCCTTTTGGTGGCTGACCTGTGTGAATTGTTTTAGTACAGAAAGGAAGGGGCCTCTTAGGGAGAGTCTTTGTATTTGAAGAGAGAAACCAAACTTGCTATGCAAGGCTGCTGTGCAGGCTCCTAGGTTGCAGGCCGCCTCCCTTCTGGCAAACCCTGCTCTTGAGTCTGCAGAGGAGCCGGAGCTGCCCAGGGAACTCTGCTCTCCCTCCCTCTCAGCCTGTGTGCAGCTGAGGGAGCGCCAGGGCCTTTGCCCATGTCGTAACACTCACAAGCAGCAGGCCCAGGAAAGAGAGTGGACTCTGCAACCGGCTAACAAAGCCAACTGCTGAAAGGGCCTGCTTCTTTATTACTTCTCTGATTTTGTCCTCTTTAGAATGTATAAGGTACTGATCTGTGCTCCGCAAACTCATGTTATTCTCCAGAGTTGTGTCCAATGCACCACTGTAGTTTCTCCTTGCACATCCCTGTTCCTATCCTTGGACCATCCCAGGGGAACACATTAGACAGCTACCATGCCTACACATCCATAGTGTTCACCACTGTGTGTGCTGGAGGTCTTTGACCTAAACCAGTACTGACCACAAAGAGCTTCTCCCTGTTCTAGACCCATCTACGTTTCCACTGTCCGGCCACAGTCAAAGCATATTGTAGTGATTCTGGACCACGGGGCTTCTGTGACCGACACCCAGCTTCAAATCGCCAAGGATGCCGCTCAGATTATCCTCAGTGCCATCGATGAACACGACAAGGTAACCGTTATCCCAGCAACACCCATAGCATGGGTGCTCCTTGAGTGCCTTTTTATAACTCATTTTGTGATATACACTCACATACCACGTAAGGCATTTGGGCCAGCATTGGACCACATAGTGGCAGTGGTCCTGTGAAAATGTCACTGTGCCACAGGTGTGTGGTAGACTGTGCCATGCAGGTTTTTCTAAGCATCACTTACTTAGGGTACAAGTGCAGGGTAACAGTACATATGACATACACACAGTAGTGAAACTGCCTTCCACATTCTTAGAACATACTTCATCATGAAAAGACACATAACTCTGCATATATTTTAAAATACCTTTAAAAGGGGTTTGGAGAAAGGGAGTCATTTAGTTTTTCTTTTAATCATTAAAAATGTGCACTAGTCCAAAAATCTTTTGTAACTAATAAGACCATCAGAAAAGTCTTTATTATTCCTTTATGATGCCTGTTAAGATTTCTAATTAACCATGGCTTTCACACTGGAAATTGTTATGCTAAGCACCAAGGGGGCAGGGGGATATGATTACTGGTGGATGGCTCAACTTTATCTCAAGATTTGCGGAAAGTAAAGATGATGAAAAGGTTGCTAGCCATTCAGAAGTGTCCAAGACACTTCAGAAGCAGGCATGTACACACCCCACAGCCTTACCCTCACATCAGACTCCAATGGAAAAACTAGGATGGTTAGCACTTGTTAATATTTTCTCTCTCAGTGAGATAAGGAGGATTTGTTTTTGAAATGTCGACACAAACACCATAGTATATTTCATCTTGGAAGCGAAACTGGGCTCTAGATCTCCCGTCCCCACTCCCCAGGCCTCTCTAATGAATCCTTTCAGACTGAACACGTGCATGCCGCCGGGCAGTTACTCCCAAACTCTCAGGAACTGTTGCACAGGCGTTCTCACTGGATGGCTCCTCTGTTGCATGTAACATTGTCGGCCATTCTTTCCTCCAGATCTCGGTGCTGACTGTGGCAGATACTGTCAGGACATGCTCCTTAGACCAGTGCTATAAGACCTTCCTCTCTCCGGCCACCAGTGAGACCAAAAGGAAGATGTCCACCTTCGTTAGCAGCATCAAGTCTTCAGACAGCCCCACCCAGCACGCAGTGGGGTTTCAGAAGGCATTTCAGCTGATTCGAAGCACCAACAATAACACCAAATTCCAAGCCAGTAAGTATATTTTCTGAGGATTTATACACACTGCAATGGGGTAAGTTGACCATGCAACTGTATTCAGAGGGATTTTTTTAAATTGATTTGGCATCAAATTATCATGTGTTATGTACACATGAGGTCCTAATATGAGGATCCTACTAGATTTTCTCAATTTTTCCAGTCAGAGGTGTTCAGTGTGGGTGATTTAATTCTCAGAGCCTCCTCTTCCTACCCCACGATTAAGAACATCTCCCCATTTATTCCAACAGGGAACACCCTGTGGGGTTTTTTTTTTAGCACTAATTATCAATTTGCATCCCTCTTGACTTGGAATGGATGTCTGCTTGTGTGCGTGTGCACAAGAGGAGGGAAGCAAGAATTCTTGCCTTGATTCTTCGTTCTAACCAGCTGTCATTTAGATGAGCACAGCCCTTCAAAAGTACAAAGGCACCATAATTTAATTTTCATGTATTAAGGAAAATCTGGGATTAGGATGCATGCTAAGGGAAAGGAAAGGATGTGTGAGATGGGACTCTGGCTTTGAAACTACTGAAATGAATCTGTTTTCTCTTTTGTATTTGAAAATTTGCTTGTAGTTTTGGATTTTTTTTAAGTGATCCTGTATCCTATTGAGATAAATCTAAAGAATATATTTTCAAGCTCTTCACTGTGTCTGCATTTGAACCAAAACAATACCTGGTCCACGGTGGGCCCTGAAAGGAAGCACCTGCAATTATTGCAGCTGCAATTATTGCAGCTGCTAATGGTAGATAGCCTATATTTTCTGTTTCTGCCTAATAAATAACCACCAACTTAGCAGGGTTTTTTAAAGATTTATTTATTTCTATTGGAAAGGCAGATATACAGAGAGGAGAGACAGAGGGGGAAACCTTCTGTCCATTGATTCACTCCCCAAGTGGCCACAACAGTCAAAGCTAGGCTGGTGGGAAGCCAGGAGCCAAGAGCTTCTTCCAGGTCTCCCATATAGGTGCAGGATCCTAAGGCTTGGGCCATCCTTGACTGCTTTCCCAGGCCACAGGCAGGGAGCTGGATGGTAAGTAGAGCAGCCAGGATACGAAATGCACCCATATGGGATCCTAGCGCATGCAAGGCAAGGACTTTAGCCACTTGGCTATTGCGCTGGTCCCAACTTAGCAGTTTAAAACCCTTGTTTTCTCACAATCTCTCTGGGTCAGGAGTCCAGAGGCACTTCATTAGTTTGAAGTGTTGCACAGGCAACACTTTTTGCCAGGGCTTTGAACTCTTGTGAAGTTAGACATCCTCTTCTGAACTCATACAAGTTCCTTGCTGGTCTCGTAAAATTATCTCCAGTTTGCTTCTCTAAGGCCCTTAGGGGCATATCTCTCCTGTTTCAAGAGAAGCTGTTAGCGCTCTCTTGCATCTGATCATATCAGGTCCGTTGCCATTTTTTTATTTGATCAGGTTGCTCTCCTTTGGGCTTAATTCAGAGTCAACCTACTTGGGGCCATCATTACATCCCCAAAATCTATCAGCCTGTACTGTAGTCTGCTGGCTAGAGACAAGTTACAAGGTTGCACTCACATCCAGAGAAGATACTTGAAGATATGGCATCGTTGGGTCATCTTGGAATTTTGCAAACACCAGCAGCTCATGGGCAGATGTTTAGGCAAGCTGAGTGTAAAATTACCCACAGTTCCATAAGACTGGCTTGTTGAGTCTGCTCTTGGTATATGAGAATGTCCATTTATCCTTGCCAAATCTTGTGTTTCAAGAGAAGCCAGAAATCAGGATTGTTATGAAATCCCTTGGTTTTTAAGTGTTGACATTTGTTCCAGCCTCATAGCCGTGAATAGAGACCTCATTAAGCATCTTCTCCCACACCTCCCCACGATACACATTAGCCAAAGCCTGCTTTGCTGGGAGGCTTGTTGCCTCTGGAGTTTTTGTGTTTGCATTTTCTTCACTTCACACTGGCAAACACGAACAATGCAGGACAGTTGATCATCAGAGGCTTGGACAGATTTTAGTGGCACAATTCTCTAAATGCTCAAAGGAGCCTTTTTCAGGCCAAGTAAGAGATTTCTTAAGTTGAACACACCAGCCTTCATATTAGAGCATGTGCTGGCTGGGGCAGAGGCAAAAGAAGTCCAATTCGTTTACATAAAGAAATATCCCAAGAGTTGTTCCACTTGATTGAGGAGAGGCGTTTGGGTGCTCTTAAGCAATACAGCCTAATGCTTAAATATGTAGGTTTTGGATTTCGACCAATGTTTTCATGTAAAACTTGTCTAATGTTGCATACTTGTGTAAATATTTGACCGCTACAGGCCTAGTTTTCTCTGTAAGCCAAGGGAGATAATAAGACCCAAGGGTTTAGTGTAAATATTCAAAAATTGTAGCTATACTTATTATGATATGCAGCTTTTTAAAAAAAAGTTTCAGCTTCAGCTAAATTAGAATAGCTACCCTAGTAGATAGTTTACGTTAGCCCCAAGTCCAAAGCTGGACAAAGATTGCTAGTAGCCTCAGCAACATCATTGTAAAGGTAGTGTATACCCTTTCTCAGAGCGTACATGGGATTCACTGCTTTTAAGCACTGCTTAGAATCTACCTGTATTAGAGGCTATTTTTGGGTCAGTCAGGTAGGGTTATTCAAATAACAGATCATTTAGGACTGTTGCACAGATCAATGTACACATAACTGTGCCATAAATCATGGTGGCTTTGGATTAATTTGCTTTATACCAACTGAAAAATCTGAAATGTTTATCCATCGCTGGTTCTGTGTCAGTCCAACGGTAAATCTTTAACTTATGAAGCTAGCACTTAGCACTTTTGGGATTGCTTGTTCTGAGTTTTAGCGGAAGGTGGAGAATAACCTTATGGTAGGAGAAATAAGATGGCTAGATTTATAAGATGGATAGAGCTTTAATTGCTTGATCAGAGCTCAACTTGGAGTTGCTTTTCCCTCTAGCAGTTGATCCCAAGGACCCCTGCTGGTTTAGAGGGGCTGTCCAAAGGGAGGGTCTAGTGCGTTTTCTTCCAGTTACATGCTACATCTTTGCTCTGTCCCAGATCCAGATAGTTACTCATACCTAAAATTACCAATGGCAAGGCTTAACATCGCTAAGTGGGTGACAAGAAATGGAATATTCACATTAGTAAAAATAAATAGGTAAAATAAAAAATCAGGTTTACTTGAGGCTAGAGCTGGAATTGGGCTGGGCAGAACAGGTAAGGATGCTCACAGGGTGAATGTCTTGTTGGGACAGAAGGAAAAGTGGCTGCTGAAGGCCCCTCTCGGTCACCAACCTCTGGTTCCATGCCTTAAGACCAACTCCTTTTTTACCCAGAATCCTAAGATTAAGTTAGAAAAGTTGACGGGTTCTTTGTAGGTCATTCCAGGAAGAAAGATTTGATCACACGTGGTACCTTTGCCATGAGGATATGGTTTATCTCTTAAAGAGGCTATTTTAAAGGCGTAATGGACACTGGAAGGAAAATATAATTTTGAGTACAAAAAATATTGAAGTCTACTGAAAGCCCAAGAACATATATATTAAAAATTATACACGCGTTTCAGTTGTTTTATTTTTGCACCAAAATCAAGTTGTGTTTCAAATCTACTTCCACACCCTTATTCTTCCTGCTATGGAATCCAGAATCATTGTCTGATGCTTAAATGTTTAGACTCCAGTAAATAATTTACTGGATTGATTTACAACACTAAAAAATTGGCATCTTCTTTCAGGCAGGAATATTCCTCAAACGTAAGGAGATTTTTGGCATCAGAACTAACTCAACATAAAATTAAATTTACATTTGCAGTTAATATCCATTTAAAAATTGAGCATAGGGTCTAGCATGATAGCGTAGTGTTTGAAGTCCTCACTTTGAATGCACCGGGATCCTATATGGGCGCCGGTTCTAATCCTGGCAGCCACGCTTCCCATTCAGTTTCCTGCCTGTGGCCTGGGAAAGCAGTCCAGGACGGCCCAAAGCTTTCGGACCCTGCACCTATGTGAGAGACCTGGAAGAGTCTCCTTGCTCCTGGCTTCGGATTGGTTCAACTCCACCCGTTGCGGGTGCTTGGGAAGTTAAGATCTTCCTCTCTGTCTAACCTCCTCTCTGTATATCCGCCTTTCCAATAAAAATAAATAAATCTTTAAAATAAATAAATAAATAAAATTGGCTTTTAATATTTCCCCTATAAGCATTGGCACAATCGTTAAACCACTCCCTTGGACACCCTAATTACTTGTGTCAGAGTGCATGGATTGAAGTTCCACATTCCTTCTTGGGAATGTCCTGTGAGGCAGCAGTGATGGCTGAAGTGGCCTGGGCCCTGCCCATAGGGAGACAAGATCCAGTTCAAGATTCCTGCCTTCAGCCTGGCTGTTGAGGACATTTAACAAGTGATTCAGCAGATGGAAGGTCTTTCTTTCCTCTCCTTCCCTCATTCTGAATGACTTTCTGCCTCTCAAATAATGCTAAAATTTTTACACACTTATATATTGTTTGTGACCAACAAAAGGGACTTTAAATGTATTTCAGTGAGTCCAATTTTATTCAACTCAGTTATGTACAATATTGAAGCAACATATCTAAATTACTTGATTCTACACGGTAAGCATACTCTAAAACTTAAAATGAAGCTTACAGACAACAGGAAATGCAAACACTATGACCTCCTTCTCGGGATCATTTAAAAAAATTATTTTAAAATTATTTGAAAGAGTTACAGAGTAAAGGAAAGGAGAAAGAGAAAGGTCTCCATCCATTGGTTCACTCCCCAAATGGCTGCAATGGCCAGAGCTAAGGCAGTCCAAAGCCAGGAACTTCTTACTGGTTTTCCACATAGATACAGGGACCCAAGGTCTTATGCCATCCTCCCCTGCTTTCCCAGCCCATTAGCAGGGAGCAGCCAGAACACAAAACACAAATATGGAATGTTGGGGCCACAGACAGAGGCTTAGCTTGCTATATCATAGTACTGGCCCCCTCCAAGAGTAACTGCATTCATTATCTGTTGTTCCCTAAAAAATTACCCCCTTAGACTCAGCAGCTTAGCATAATAAGCGTCTGTTATCCTAGTTTCTGTAAGTCAGGAATCCAAGTACTGCCAAGCTGGGTGCCTCTGGCTTACATGGTCTCAGGAGGCTGAGTCGCAGATTGCTGGTTTTTTTGTTTTTTAAGATTTGTTTTTATTGGGAAGTCAGATATACAGAGAGGAGGAGAGACAGAAAGATCTGTCTGCTGATTCACTCCCCAAGAGGCCACAACTGCTGGAGCTGAGCTGGTGCGAAGCCAGGAGCCAAGAGCTTCTTCCAGGTCTCCCACACAGGTGCAGGGTCCCAAGGCTTTGGGCTGTCCTTGACTGCTTTCCCAGGCCACAGGCAGGGAGCTGGATGGAAAGTGGAGCAGTCAGAACACGAATTGGTGCCCATATGGGATCCCGGAGCATGCAAGACAAGGACTTTAGCCAACAGGCTACCATGCTGGGCCCTGAGGCTATTCTTATCTGAAAATTTGACCAGAGGGGGCCCTGCTTCCAAGCTCACTCATACTGTTTTTGGCAAGATTTTTGGTTCTGGGAACTTCTGTCCCTTGCTCCTCCTCAGAAGAATCCTTACAACATGCCAGCTGGCCTCCCTCCTGTAGAGAAAGTCTTGACATCCGTCACCTCTGACATATTCAATTCTCTTTGAGGAGATCAGCACACACTCAAAGGGAGGCAACTGCCTCCAGGACTGGAAAATCAGGAGGAGGGCCCTTTGGGGAGTCAAGTTGAAGGTTGCCTTTCACAGTCACTGTCAAGCAATCTGCATTAAATGACAATGAGAACCTGAGGAAATCAGTGTAGAGTACCTTGTATCAATAATTATCTTTCCATAAAATGCGTAAAACTTCTATGAATGATATACTAGAAAGAAAATGTGAAAGTCCAGCTATCTTCCCTCTACCAGTCTTGCTTATTGCCCATTGGAAACAAAGGCCTGACTTTTAGTTTTAAATCAGAAAGCTGTTCCCGCTGAACTGAAATTCTCAGTTGCTCTGCCCATTAGCCCTCTTTGGAGAACTGTTTGAGTCCCAGCTCGGCCATGTTACCCCAGACCAGTAGAGGGCACAGTTTCTGTTTGGAGATGGGTTTGAGTGTGGATAAACACGTGTTGCTGTTTCTTGCTTCTGTCACCCTTTTCTAGTCATCATCCTGTTTATGCCCTTCACTTAACCAGTAGTGAGTTCTCACAACAGTGATGGGAAGTCAGTATTGTCATTTCCACCATGTTAGTAGGGATGAAAGTACCTTGTGCAGAGGTTAAGGAATTGGCCTAAATCACCCAGCCTTAGATTGGTGTGGCAGAGCAGGTGGTGAACACAAGCTGTGTTTCCCACAGCCATGTTTTTATTACTTCACTTCATTGATGTGTGTTTTGAAGGGGAATGTGCCTAGAGGTGATTCATGTAACCTTACATGTCCACTGAGCCTCCTAGAAGAAGCACCACTTAGAAGCCTTCCTCCCATGCTGAACTGAGGAGAGGAGGAGCCGTGTTGCAGACAACAGCAGGGCTCCTCTGTCCGAACCCCCTTGAATTACCCAAGATGTAGCTGCCTTTTGCTCAGCCAGTTTATTAGGAGCTTGTTTTAAACCTAGGGGCCTTGCTGACCAGAAAGGGCCAGATGGGCAGACACAGAGGCGGGAGATGAAAGCCACAGCTCCTGCATAGAAAGAAGAGTGGGAAGGGGACCCATGGGTCCCCAAGGTGGGGAGATACAGAGGGAATGAAAGGGAAACTGCACCGCTGTCTCCAGACAGCACCCAAATAAATGTAACGTGTTTGGATGTTTTTTGTTTAGACACTGACCTGGCCATCGTTTACCTGTCAGCTGGCATCACATCAAAGGACTCTTCAGAAGAAGATAAAAAGGCAACTCTCCGTGTCATCAATGAAGAAAATAGCTTTCTCAACAACTCTGTAATGATTCTCACCTACGCCCTCATGAATGGTAGGCAGTGTTGCGAGATTTTGCTTTCAGATGAAAGTTTCCCCTAAGTGGATGCTGCTTGAAGAGAGAAAAGCAGAATCCTAATGCTGGGCTTTGATGAAGGCTCTCGCCACGGGCTGCTGAGCCGCTCTCTCTACCTGGTGTTGGCACTTGGGGCCTTTTAAGGGTGTCTCTTCCTCTCTCCAGCCACCTGCTTGTCACTAAACTTTTTTTGCCTACTGGGGGTTTAAAGGGGGTTTTGAAGGGCTCACTTTGTTCCAGTTCCCCTTCAGTAGTCTGTCTTGCCTGAGGTTTGCTGCTGCTTGGAGTTTCCGAATTCAGCTCGTTGATTGGAACCTCAGGCAGCCGAAGCACCAGTGCAGTGTCCTGTATGTAGGCAGCTCTGATTCCCACACTGCGCTGCACCATCACTGCCAGACCTTTTCTGCCGCTCCTTCCACCCCAGCTTCCTGCCTGTCAAATAGAAGAATCACCTGCTTTGCAGGGTGGCTGTGAGGATCAGCCCGAATGCCCTATACCTGGGGACTCACTACAGTAAATTACACCATGTGACGTGAGGTGTGTGAAAGCTTGTGCTGTGTGAATAAATTCAAGGAAACACTCTGTTTTCCCTTTTCTCCTTCCCATCCTGTCCTCTAGTGTGGAGAGTGCCAAGTTTTCTACCCTTTGTGCTTTGTTCTTTCAACTTCTCTGGGCTTCTTGCCCTTAGGACTCAAGATGAGCATCTTCTCTTGAGTGTTAAGAGGCCATGTCTTGATCTTTCCTGCCTATAATCTTGTCTTTCTCTTCCCTTCCAAACTTCCATACAAAATCATGTGGTTTGTGGGACAGTGGTTCTAATAGTTTAATTTCCTGGGGATTCCTTGGGGAGAGGCATTTTAATTGTAGCTTCTTGGACACTACCCTCAGATTCCTATTCAGACCTCCTGAGAAAATGCAGTAGCACTTCCGTGCTCCTAAATTCCACCTGTTCAGAGCCTCTTGTACATTTATCATGTCCCTGATAATTCCATCTAACTGTCCTTGTGTCTTGTTTCACTCATTAATCCAGCTGGTTTTCTTCCTCTTTTGCCTCCACTCTTTCCCTCTCTCAGAAGGCCAGTTCAGAGTATTGGTCACAAGGTTGGACACATTCTCTTCCTTTGTCAGTCAAAGTTCCAATAAGGAACCTGGAACCACTAAGAGAATTTTGTAATAAAGCATTTGTTATGAGAATTATAGTGTACAAAATGGTGAGAGAAACTAGCCAGGTACAGATCCCCTGAGGACATAGATGTGGAAGTCTGTGGGAGGTTGTTGGACTTTTTATGGCCACCTGCCCTGTGCACTTTCCACAGTAGTGTAGTGTCTAGGACTGTTGTGGAGTAAGCCAGCAGGTTGTGACAGCCACATTCTGCATCTTCTGTGTCTCACCATCACTTAACCTTCCAAATATTTTTTTAACTAGATATGTATTTACTTGTATTGCAGAAGCAGATTTACAGAGACAAGAGACAGAGAAAAAGCTCTTGCATCTGCTGATTAACTTCCCATATTGCCTCAATGGCCAGAGCCAAGCCAAAGCCAGGAGCATCCTCCAGCTCTCCCACATGGGTGCAGCGTCCCAAGGCTTTGGACCATCCCCTCCACTGCCTTCCCAGGCCACAAGCAGGGAGCTGAGTGGGAAGTAGAATAGCCAGGACACGAACCAGCACATGTACGGAATGTCAATGCTTATAGGCTGAGGCTTAGCCAATTGAACCAACATACCAGCTCCCTCCCAAATCTTGTAATATTTCATTTTTGGTAACTGTAACTTGGAAGAACACAATCAGAGGGGATTCTGGGAAATGCTGTGTTGAGCATAATAGAGTTAGCGATAGGCCATCATGTCTGTTCATCTGCCAGCTTCTTGCTGACACTATGCCAGGGCTATGTAACATTCCATGATGGAAAACGTAAAGTATCTTGCACTTAAGCTCACATGGCTGTGCTTTGCTTAGATGTTGCTTGTCACTTTTCTTTTACATTTTGAGAGAAACAAGCAGTGTGTGACACAGAAGTGTTTTTACTGCCTGCTTTTATTGTCTCCTTGTGTCCTATCACCCCTGTGAGCTTCTCGAGGTTGAAAGGTCAGGGATTCATCATGGATTTTTGTTACCTTTTACTTTAGGTCATACCCTATGCTAAGCAAAGGAAAAAATCATTTGTTTCCAACGTAATTTGGCCCAGGGATTTTTTTCCCTTCATTTCATCATTACATGAGTGGGTTAAATCCAAGTTTATTTTAATGTTTTAAGTAAGCTATGTCCATTAGATTGTTCCACAACTTCAGAAATGGACTTCTTGTCTCAAACTGTCTATTCACAAACTCAAGTGACAGGTGGACCATAAATGCGTCAGACTGTTTGTAATGACTGAACAGTTCGAGGTTTGCTGTTAAAATCTCGAAGACCATGAGGCAAAACCTTTTTAAAAATGCAATGTTAGCATCTCAGCAGTGACTGAAATCCTTTGGATTGTTTACAGTGTTTCCCATATGTGATTAGTTACTAATCCTTTTGACTGTGTTCCAACAATAGCAAACTATAAGAAAATGGTTTATTAAATTTATTTTTGTGGGATAAATTACAGATGTTGTTGAACAATACGGCCCAGGATGCCCAAATCTTTTGCAAAGATTTCAAGCCCCTCTAAAGAGAAAAAAATACATGCATCAACTAAATCAAATTTGGTATTATCCTTACAGCATCAAGCATGAAACATCCATAATTAAAATTGGCTTCAAGAGACTAGCTTTGGAGGCATCACTAAATGCAATCCATAATTCTTTCATTTAGTTGCTTATTAAGACCTTGGCAAGTATTTGACAGGCATAGAAGTAGGAATGAAATGGTAAACCTCTCATTTAAAACTCTTAGAAACTCTTACAACTTCATCTGCTTCTTTAAATTAAATGCAGATCATTACTTTTGCTTTCAAATTGTAAAGGCAGAGAAGGAATTTAAATTTTATTATTAAAGTTTTTTGGGAGGAACACATCCTTACCAAACAGGGCTTCTTTATTTACTCATGTGTTTCTCATCACTGCCCTTTGAAGAATCCCTTTGCCCTCTTGACTGTTGAAGGAAAGACCAGGTCTCGGGCTGTGCTTCTCAGCAGGGGTTGGCGCTTCTGTCCTGAGTCCCCACTGTCTCTGCAAAGACTCCTTCGGCTTTACAGGTCCTCCTCCTTCTCCATGTGAGATCAGACTTGCAAGGTGACCTGGATCTAAATCATTCTGTTTCCTGTGGCCTTTTTTTTTTTTCAGATGGGGTGACTGGTTTGAAAGAGTTGGCTTTCCTGAGGGATCTGGCTGAACAGAACTCTGGCAAGTATGGTGTGCCTGACCGGACAGCCCTGCCTGTGATCAAGGGCAGTATGATGGTGCTGAACCAGCTCAGCAACCTGGAGACCACAGTTGGCAGGTTCTACACCAACCTGCCCAACCGCATGATTGATGAGGCTGTCTTTAGCCTCCCCTTCTCTGATGAGATGGGGGATGGTAAGTTTGGAGAAAATTTCTGATCAAGGGGTGAGCACCTTTCTCTCATCCTTTTATCTGGAACATAGGGCTGCATAACCCCCCTGCCACCTGTCTGTAGCACTATTCTGGAGCAGAAATCATTAGCCCTATTTCTTCCTTAATGCCCTAGGCTCAGCAGACATAATTGTCACATCTCCTGGAAAGATATGTGAGAGTTCACCAATAATATCCCAAAGTTTAGTGCTTGGGATTAAAACATAGCTTTGCATTGCAAGTGAGAAATGGTACTCAGAACTTAGTATTCAGCTTCAAAGGCAAAGCAGTATGCCACAATCACATCACTTGGGCTTTCAAATCCTCTTAACTTATTATCCTTGCTGAATGACTTAATCTCATTCTCCATTTGATGGTCTGTAAAATGGGATAATAAATCTTTCTGGTTATTAGAATGAATTAGATGATACATAAGACTTATCAGTAACTATCATAACACCTAATCGTGATTGTTCCTCTTTTTATATTTTCATTTTATTATTTTTCATTTGTTATCATCATCATCATCAACAACTTAATGTGACAAGTTACCATTAATATATTAGGTAAAGTGCTTAACCTTCATATGATTGGGTTTACTGACCTACAAAATAGGAGATATGATACTTTCTTGGAGGCAGTTGTGAAGATGCAGCAATGTGTGGAACTATATACGTAATGATATATGTGTAACATCTAGAACAATGCTGGAATGGAGAGGTGAACAGTGCTGAGATGTAGCCTGGCCAACAGCTGTTCTGGCAGAAGTACAGCCCTTGCCTTGTCCTCACGTCCTACCCACTGTCCCTCGTTAAGTTGAAGACTTAGCCAGTTCAACAGATGCCAACAGCATGTGATATCTTTTATCAGTGGTTAAGTAGGAACTCCCATAAATACTCAGGGAAAACTCATGGCTGAAAAGTAACAAGCCTAGAAGGAATGCTTTCTAGAGGATCTGTAAACATACACTTTCTGTAAGGAATAAGTATGACAACTGCTAGTGCCATAGAATTGTTTATCCTTCTTGTTTTTTGAAAGTGCCCATAGATGTATATAAAAGAGAAACTGCCATGTTTAGATAGGCTATTTCCCATTGTAGTGAAAATGTCACTTCTTGAATTTAAGTGACCTTTTGTGCATTCAAACCACAACATTAAGTGCAATAGAGTGTTGTGCCAAGCAATGGTAGGGAAGGCGCACATCCCACCCTCAACAGCCCTTTAAATCTAGAGGAGACAGATCCACGAATCCTGATGATACTGTGTGAAAGCAACAAAGACAGCTGTGGAAACAAACTGAGGACTCTATTGTCGAGTACTGTTACAACAGCAGTATCAGCTCAGGTGGGCTGCTGCTTAAAACTCACCTCTCCATCCCAGATAGCTGTCCTGAAAGGTTTAGCCAGTCATGTGCACTTGCTTGCTGATACTAGCCAAGTTGTAATCTTGTTTTATGAGTCTTGTGCAATGGGTTCAGTGATTGATTTAATATCTGTTTAATTCACTGTTAGAGCATAACTGTCCATCTTTGTGTCTTCGGTTCCCAGAGCAACTGGGTGACTCATCCTCTGACTCCATAGCATAAGGAATTGAGACTGGGGAAATCCTTGTTCAATTATGGCAGTAATTCAAAACCTCCACAGATTAAATATCAGCTTCTGAATATATTTCTTTTAAAAAACAAGTCTGTGTGCTTTGGGTTGAAGCAGAAAGCATGTCTGAGGATTTTTCCCATGTAGCAAGAGCTTTAGCCTACATTATTTGCCAGAATGGGATAAAGAGCCTTGTGCCCACGTTGATGATTGAAAGGTAGGGTTATGTTCCTTTTTTTTTTAAGACTTTGTTCTCAACATATCCAGAGAATAGACATGTGAAATGAGAATGTGTCTGACTCTGAGTTTCTCTTGGTACTTCACTGATGCATGAAAATGGCTTTACTCTCAGGCTGAAGTCCAGGCAATGTGGCATACATGTTGCTGCCTCTATGATGGCCTTCACAACATTTCAAAACATACAGATAGCATTCGAAAAGTATACTTCCTGGAGAATTTGGCAAATTGTCTTTGGCACCCACACCCACTGTATGACTTCCACAAGCTGCTTCTGCATACTGCTACCAGGACAGCTCAGCCATACCGCAAGTGGGCACGATTGTCTCTGTGAACCATTCTTTGCAAAACTTTCTGAGATCCCTTTCCTGGTTGTTTCTAGAATGGCTTTGATAGGTTACCAAGGCATGAACATGCTGTCAAGCACAGGAAGACTGAAGATCAAGATGGAGAGAAGCTCTCTTTACAGTTTGGTTAGGGCCTTGGGATGTGTGCAGCACAATTCTTTCAACTCAGGAGCGAGGCCAAGGTGTCCTGGGGCTCAGGACATGCACTGACCTGGAATTCATGCTGTCTCCTCTATGTTTTTCTCCTGCGTGCTTTTGTATGGCCTATAAGCCAGTCATGATCTTTTATATTAGAAGAGGGTTGTTGCTTTAAAAATAAAAAACAGGCACAAAAATAAAAGAAGAGCCATAAAGCCTATCATAATTACTGTCTGGGCCTCCACCTAAAATTCTGGGGGAGGTCTGTCTAGAAATACATGGCTTTGTAAACTTTATTTCTCCTTCAGCTACCCAAAGTTTGCGTAGTCAAAGCTTTGTGTTTGTGAAAAGTTGCATTAATGAGATACAGTCATATCTTTTTTTATTTTTAAGGTTTTTGTTTTTATAGTCAGATTTACAGAGAGAAAGAGTGACAGAGGAAAAGATCCTCCATTGGTTCACTCCCCAAGTGGCCACAACAGCCAGAGCTGAGCCTATTCAAAGCCAGGAGCCAGGAGCTTCTTCCAGGTCTCCCAAGTAGGTGCAGGGCCCCAAGGCTCTGGGCTGTCCTCGACCGCTTTCCCAGGCTACAAATAGGGAGCTGGATGATAAGTGACACTGCTGGGACATGAACCAGCACCCATAAGGGATCCTGGCACATGCAAGGCAAGGATTTTAGCCACTAGACTACTGTGCTGTGCCCACTAACGTATCTTTAAAACACAGTATGCACCAAGGCTCGGAGAAGTTATGTCCCAAGTCAACTTGTATAAGCCAGAAGCGCTACAGCTCAACTTAGAACTTAATATTCTCTGCCCAGTGGTGTTTTCAAGTGTAGCAGAATTTCTGTACTTAAGGAAGTAGGGTAATGTATTTAGTCCTACTAATGTGTTGCGCATATCTGGAATGCCATGTCTGTCATTTTAGGTGAAAAAGTAGTGGAAGATGTTCAGATTGCTTCCATTTAAATTAACTGTGATAATAGAACCATGGAAGTACTCTTTCTCTCAACCTGCAAGATGGTGGTTGAATAGGGGATCACACAGGGAATTTTTCTTCCAAACAGAATTGAAGAGTACTGATACCAGCCCTCAGGACCCACAGGAACACACTCCCGTTGTTTATCCAGGCCTGCTCTGCTATCTTTGGATTTGTTTGTTTTTAACCCATAGGTTTGATCATGACTGTGAGTAAACCCTGTTATTTTGGAAACCTGCTTCTGGGAATCGTGGGTGTGGATGTGAATCTGGCTTACATTCTCGAAGATGTGACCTATTACCAAGACTCTTTGGCTTCCTATACTTTCCTCATAGATGACAAAGGTAATCTGCCGCAAGTTCATCGTAAGAAAGAATGGCTTCCTTAGCGACCTCAAGACAATAGTCTGTCAATATTGTGATGCAAAGAAGGCAGGGGGAATAAGACCATAGTTAAAGGAAAGCAGTGTGATTACGTGGGGTGGGACGCCCCATAGATTTGATGCAGAGCGAATGCACAGACCATATTATGTTAGGAATAGGAATGGTTATTTGGTCATCAAGAAATTAGACTTAAGGATTGAATGATACAGAGAATGTGATCCTTTAGCCATTTTTTTTTCTGTTTTTTGTATTCTTTTTAAGACTTTCCTGGCTTTAAAGTTTAGGTGGTAGATTAAAACATTTTGTAAAAAAGTGAAAGCCAAACACTCGATACTTCCAAGATATTCTCGATGAGACCGTTGTTAGAGAATTTATAGCATCTTTCTACACTCTGAAAGTTTTATACAAGCAAACATAAATCAAGTTCAATTTTTATTGGACTGGGAAGTAACATATGGGTGGACTGAAGGCTTGGCAGCCATCCCAGGGAAAGGTACTTTTGCTAGTGCATTTGCTTTTCTGTGGCATATTTTTGATAACATGCATTTTGTTCTTTCAGGCTATACACTTATGCATCCGTCTCTTACCAGGCCATATTTGCTCTCTGAGCCTCCCCTTCATACTGATATTATACATTATGAAAACATTCCAAAATTTGAATTGGTTCGGCAGAACATCCTAAGGTGAGGAAAAGGTGAAGGTTGAGGCATTTTTTCACAAGGTCATCTATGAGTATTTAGCACAAGTTTATGAATTATTTTAATATTAAAAGTCTACAAAATAGTTTTTCTACTAGAGTGACCACCGACACTGTGCTCACTTCATGTAACAGGTAACGTTATATTTTTTTAAAAGATGTAGTTATACAAAATAGAAATCCTGGCAAAATAGCAGGTTAAGGACCAACTCGGCTGCATTTGCCACAAAATAGTTTGGTAGACACTATCCAATGCAAGTTGACAACACAGTTGAATACAGCGTTTTCCCTTCAAATGAAAACAGATTGGATTTTTTCCAATAGTGATGCTTTATTCTGACAGATGGTAACCTGCAGAGAAGTGAATCTTTGTGCTCATTGGTTGAAAATTAATGGCTGAATGATCTGAGACAGGTTAGTCTCTGGAAAAAATTAGAACTGGAAGACAACAGCAAAGAGTAAGGAATGGTTTTAATGCAGCACTGACATAATGTTTTTGCAAAATTGGAAATCGCATCTTATGTTTCAAAAGTGATGAGCTTCATGGCTTTTCAAAATCAGGAGGCAGCCTTGACTCCCAGCTTCTTCCTTGTCTTTAATTAAGTGCTTAATTTTATCTCTTGCCTGAACTATTTAATTCTGTTTGCCAACGCAGCCTCCCTCTGGGCAGCCAGATTATCACAGTGCCTGTGAACTCGTCCCTGTCCTGGCACATAAACAAGCTGAGAGAAACTGGGAAGGAGGCCTACAACGTTAGCTATGCCTGGAAGATGGTGAGTTGAGAGCAGAAGTCACCTGTGCTTAAACAACCACGGGTCGCAGATCTCTTTTTCAAGAAGGAGTTCTGGGGGCGTCATTCTGTGACCAATTGTTGTTAGAGTGACTGGAAAAAGAAGACAGTCCACCAGTGTTGGTTTGTTATTTTCCTTTTGTGATTGTAAAACCCATAATTACACATAATTACTTTTGGCCTTCCATGCCCATAAGTAACCACTATAATCAATTTTCAGGAAATTTTATCTGCACACAGGCCTGTGTGTGTGTGTGTGTGTGTGTGTGTGTGTGTGTGTGTGTGCGCGCGCGCGCACTTGACCTTAATGGCCATATAATACTATGTTAAACAGATGGGTCAAATTTCATTAAGTAGCCCTCTATTAATCTTCATTTTGATTTTGTCTTTTTTTTTTTTCCTTCATTTCAACTCAGATGCTGGAAGTTGAATTAAAAAGGAAACATAAATGGCAGGCCTTTTGCCTAACACTTAAGAAACCAGTTAGGACGTGTGATTCCCCTATTGGAGTGCCTACTTCCAGCTCCAAATTCTAGGTTTCTCCTAATGTGCACCCTGGGGGGCAACAGTGATGACTCAGGTAGATGGGTTCCTGCCCACCAAGCATGGAAGTCCTGGATCCACTTAGCATAACCTGACTTTGATTCCCACCTTAAGTCATTGCAGTCATTTGAGAAATGGGCTATCAGATCTCTGTTTCTCAAATAAATGAAATTTAAAAATTAAGATTTATTGTATTGAAAGGTAGAATGACAGAGAAAGAGAGAACTTTCATCTGCTGGCTCATTCCCCAAATAGCCAGCCAAGCCAACCCAAAGCCAGGACTCGAACAGTCACTCTGATATGGTAAACTGGCATCGCAAGCAGCTGTTTAGCTAACTATTGGGCCACAACGCCAGGCCAAAATTACTTATTTTGAATGCAAGCATATTGGTGATTAGCTGTAATTTGTGGCACAACTGTCAGCTTTCTCTTACCAGTCTCATTAAGATGCTAGGCCACAAGGAATCAGAATCTAAGAAACACTGTTCATCCGTGTTACCTATGTTTCTCTCCTCACATTCTCTTCCCAACATAGCAGGTGAGCATCATTGTAGAGCCTTACGTGCTATGATGGAGTAAAAGACGATTGGACACTCATCAAATTTTAGTTACTAAATTTAACTAATTCACACTTAAGATTTCCTGAATGGATTTATGTAATATTTGACCGTTGACTTCAAATGGGTCTGTTTCTTCATCCCCTTCAGAATATATTGCTACATTAATGAGATCTTTTAGAGCATCTAGCCTCTTGGTGGATAAATACAGTTAACTAACTGTAGTGTCTTTGTCCGGGATAGAAATGGTAGACATTGGAGGAAGTCCACCCAAGTCATGAGTCCCTTCCAAACTTCTTAGATGGTTCTTAATGCGTTGTTAGGGTCATGGCAGCTACTAAAACACAAATGAAAGTTGAATAATGATGAAGTAAACTATGTGATTTGTTTACAAACCAAATTCTGGTATTTTACTGTTTGATAATACAAATTTGAGGATGGTCAGATTCTTCTTTGAAATTGTTTTTTTATTTTAATTATTCATTTATTTTTATTGGAAAGGCAGATTTACAGAAAGAGGGAAAGACAGAAAGAAAGATCTCCCATCTGCTGGTTCTCTCTCCAAATGTCTACAACAACCAGAGCTGAGCTGATCCAAAGCCAAGAGTTTCTTCCAGGCCTCCCACATGGGAGCAAGGTCCCAAAGCACTGGGCCATCTTCTGCTGCTTGCCCAGGCCACAAGCAAGGAGCTCTGGATGGGAAGTGGAGCAGCTGGGACATGAACCAGCACCCATATGGATCCCAGCGCTTGAAACTGGAGGATTAGCCGATTGAGACGTCATGCTGGGCCCTTGAAATTCTAGTAACCAACTGGTTTTTAAAAACGTTTTTAAGAATATGGGCACCATCTGCCCTGATTTAACTGAATTTTTCAAAGTAAATTGCTCAATTTTCACATTAGTAGTGGTGAGCCAGCCACCCAAATCCATAAGTGAAAGACTTTGTGTTTGAAATTAGAGATTGGGATAGGTGTTGGACCTTCTGCTTATAATGCCGGTTGGGACTCCTAATCCCCTGTTGGAGTGCCTGGCTTTGGGTGTTTTGTTCTGCTCTTTTTTTTTTAATTTATTTTTTATTATATGACACAGTTTTATATGTACTGGGCTTCCCAGCAACCCTCCCAAACCCCCCCCATGGTAGATTCCTCCACCATGTTGCGTGATTCAGTTCAAGTTCAGTTGAGATTCCCTCATTGCCAGCATATACCAAACATTGTGATCCTCATGTTATTGCCCAGATAAGTTCAATGGCTTTTTGGAGAGACCTTCTCTGGTCCGAAGGCAGAGCCAACAGAGTAAACCCAATCAATCAAAAGCCCCAACATTGACATTTCCCCATATAAGGTACATAACTGTTACAGGAGGGGTGAGCAGAGAAATCTTCAGCATCTTGGTGAGGTGTCCTTGTTCTGTGTCCTACCTAGTAAAGCATGTTTGAGTCTATACTGACCAAACTTTTCTTGTTGTTCTCTGTCTATTCAAATGTGTATGTGTTTGTGTGTATGTGTGTGTGTGTGTGTGTGTTTGGAGAGGGGCTCTGGAGCAACCCTGACAGTCATTGCATAGAGGGTGCAGACCCAACGTTGGAACTAAGTAAGGACAAGAGAAAGTTTCTTTCCTTAGTCCTGAAGGGAGTTTACTGTTCTTTTGATTCTGAGGACCACTCTGGGTTCCTGGTTGTTGTTCCGATGTCCTTGGATCCCCTGAGGAAGATTTCGGGCTTCTTTCATCCCGTGTAGTAGATCCAGTTCGGGAGAGATGCCCTCTGAGTTTGCAGGCTCCAAAGGTGTTCCAACTCCCCGTGGTCTCTTTGGCAGTTGGGATGCAGTCCTTGGTGCCCGTATCGATAGTCTTTAGTGGGGTTTATGAAGTCTCCAGGTGTGGGATGCAGGCCGCTTCCTGTCCTCGTGCTCCACTCTGGGGTCAATCCTTGCTCTGTGCATATGTCGTCCTGTTGGTAGGTTGTCAGGATTGCTCTTAGTTCCCCCTGTATGTCTTTGTAGTTTAAATGTTGTCTAATGTTGTTTTGAGCCTATTACCAATAAGTTACCTTTCATTTTCCTGGTAGGTTACCCTATATGTCTTCCTCACACTTTCTAAGGCTATGGAAGATTTCTTTGCTCTCTGCCCCATTCTTGATGAACACAAGGTTTTGAAAGTGTAAAAGGTTTTAAAATTGATCAATACACTTGGGTTGGGACAGTACTATTCACAAGTTTATCTGAGGAAGATTTACTATCCTTGGGAATCTTTACGATTAATTCACGTCCCTGAAACACTGTAGGTTCAGCTAGGAGCTGTCTAACCATCATATCTACTAACGAAAATCCTAGAGGTCCCTGGCCGGGCGGCCGGCAGGCAAAGCCTAGTGCCAAATGGCGTGCTGGCCGCCCTGAGGCTGCACACCACATGGCTGCAGCTGCGGCTCGTGTGTGGTGGGCATGGGGCGGCTGTCGCATCCACCGTCCTCTGCGTCCAGGCCCGCTCGCGAAGGTTTAGGTCGCTGGACTCCCAGTCCGCCCTCCCCCCCACCCAACCCCTGACTCCGCCCCAGCTCGACCCACCCCCAGGGGAGCAGTAGGCAGAGTCCAACGTGCCTAACAAAGGCTGCAGGCGCACACGGGTGAGGTCAGGTCCCACCGCCCTGCTAGGCCCGCCCTGAGGCCGCACGTGTGTGGTGAGCATGGGGCGGCCGTCGCATCCAGCGTCCTCTGCGTCCAGGCCCTGTTCTTTCCTTGATCCCAGCTTCTGCTTGTGTGCAGTCCTGGTAGGCACCAGGTGATGACTCCAGCAGCTGTGTCCTAGCCTCCCCTGTAGGAGATCCTGACTGATTTCCAGGTCTTCTGTCTTCCAGCTGGCCAGACCAAACGTTTGCAGACATTAGGGGCATAAACCAGCAGGTTGAGAAGAACTGTCTCACACACTCTCCCCCATCTCTCTGCCTTTCAACTAACAAAGTCTTAAGAAAAAAAGAAAATGTGGGTTATTCACCTCTAGCATATCTTTATCATAAATAAGTTAGTTGCACCCTGGGGGAAAAAATCTACATTACTAATTATTGACATTAAAAGAAAAGAAATGGTCATTTGTGTGTGTGACCTTTGCGCAGTAAATAAACCATGATTACTTTATTAATGAAAACAAATATTTTAAATTTCCTATCATTACTGTGACAGAACATAGTGAAAACATATTCATTTTATTCTGAAGAATAAATAAAATGAATGCTAATATCATTCAAATACAGTTAATTTATGCAAGCAATTTGCTGAGGTACTTTGCATCCATGGATATTAGCTATTCTGATGGAATATTTCACTGAGTTAATATAAATATATCATATAATCAGAGATTACTCTGTCCTATATGTCCCAAGTACATTTTGAGCATTTGTGGGGACTGTTTGCTGTGACCAGAGGAAGCGTGGGCTACTAGTAGAAGTATTCCGATGTTCCTGTGTGACACAGACCTGGTTCACTGATGCACAGACCACAAGGGCCATCTGGGAGGAAAAACCCTCTCCCTAAAGTCTGTTTCCTTGGCTGAAGAATTTGACAGGAAAACTACCTCGAAATCTGATTTCCCAAGGACTGTTTATCAGGTTCTACTTTTAGAAGCTCAGGAAAACTTTTTCTGTTTCACTTATAAAACAGACTCAATTATGAAATTGCATGCTTGTCATTCTGGTACAGTTTTGTTCCTTGGTATATTTGAGCCTGCAGGACAGAAACTCAAAAAGTGACTGGGTGGGACTGCAGGAGAGGAAATTGTAAATGCCATTTCAGAGCACTGCCTGGCTTTCTAATTTGAGGGATGGAAGAAGAGGATTAAGTTTCTAATCTAATTGAATATCTTTGCCAGCAGTGCTTGAAAGCAGCTCTAGGCAGATGCAAATCGCTTCCGTGTTTAAGGATTCTACAACCCTCCTCACAAAATTACATTTAATACCCGTTGCTTAGTTTAAACTTTCCTCTTGATCATACAGTAAATCATTCGAGCTGCTTCCTAAAGTTGCTGTCCTTTAATGGTCCTAAACTAGTTATCATTCCCTTAATTAATTTCCAAGCCAGTGTTTTTGGCACATAAATTCTGTCCATCTGCTAACGTAATGCCACTACAGTTGTGCATCGTGTAACAAAGGGATGCCCACCGAGAAATGCATCATTTGATTGTTTGACAAATTTGAATATTGAATGTCATGGAATACTGTTACACAAACCTGTGGGTTACAACTCACTAAGAATGGCCTCTTGCAGTCAAGAGACCGAGTAAACCCAAGATGTAGGAGGCCACCACCAACATAATAACATAACTCTGTGTTATAGTAAGCTTTTTCTAGGCAGTGTTATACTCTAGAATAATGATAAAAGTGATAGTAAATACATAGACCAGCAGTAGATCCACTATCAAGTAACATGCACTGCACATAATTTTCTTGCTATGTTTCATCTGTGTGACACCACAGAAAGTCCCTCTGCAACAGTATCATCACAAACACAATGTGAGTTGCACTTCTCATGTCATCAGTACAATGGCTTTGATGTCAGCAGGCATTCGTTTTTCAACTCCCTTATAATCTTACATGGCTGCCATGGTATAGACGTTCATTTTTCAGTGTATTAAATGTAGACCAGATGTTTAGCTCTTTTATGTATTCTTAAGGCATTTATCAAGTAAAAGCTATAACAAGCCATGTTGGCTTTTGATTATTTGGTGGAATACTTTTCCTACTAGATTTTGCTCATGTCAATTGCTAGGGGCAAAATGAATCTGAAAGTACCACAATTTCTATGCATGACTTGACAATTAGATGAAGTTAAGGAATACCTGCCAGGGCCAGTGTTGGGACATAATAGGTTAAGCTGCAGCCTGCAACCAGCATCCCAGATCAGTGCCTGTTTGAGGCTCATCTGCTCCACTTCCAGTCCAACTCCCTACTAATGCACTTCGGAAAGCAGTAGATGATGGCTCAAGTGCTTGGGTTCCTGTATACATGTGTGAAACACAGATGGACCTCCAGACTCCTGGCTTCAGCCTGATCTGGACTCAGCCATTAGAGCATTTGGGGAGTGAAACAGAAGATGGAGGATGGCTCTTATTTTCTTCTTCTCTCTGTCACTCTGCCTTTCAAATAAAATATTTTTTAAAAAAAATTTTAATTCAGGCCCGGCACGGTAGTCTAGTGGCTAAAGTCCTTGCCTTGCATACACCATATGGGCACCAGTTCATATCCCGGCTGCTCCACTTCCCATCTGGCTCCTTGTTTGTGGTCTGGGGAAAGCAGTCGAGGACAGCCCAAAGCCTTGGGACCCTGCACCTGCGTGGAAGACCTGGAAGAAACTCCTCACTCCTAGCTTTGGATCGGTGCAACTCTGGCTGTTGCGGCCATTTGGGAGTGAACCAGCAGACAGAAGATCTTTCTCTTTGTATCTCCTGATCTCTGTAAATCTGCCTTCCCAATAAAAATAAATAAATCTCTTTTTAAAAAGTTCATAATTCACTTGAAAGACAGTTCTCAGAACTCTTATTACAAAACCAAATACATATTTTAAGTGCATTTCAACTCCAAGAGAAACTATTGCATTGTTAAACTCGGTTCTTGTTCATATCAGCATCACAGTTTCAAACAGTCTACTTTCTTATTCTTGCGTTGGTCCATGCATGGTTTTCTGTTACAAACATAATCAGTTCCCACAGCAATCAAGGAATACAGAAAAGTAGAATTAGACACTTTCCATACCCTATTGTGTCTTTGTATTCATCAAATATTTATTGGACATTTTCTCTATGAGGCTGGATGGCAGAGACGGGAAAAGATCATGTAGGCAAAGTTTCTTTTTCCTCATGAAACCTTCACTGTCTTGATTTCCACAGGTACAGGACACCTCCTTTATCCTGTGTATCGTGGTGATACAGCCAGAAATACCTGTCAGACAGCTGAAAAACCTCAACACCGTCCCCAGCAGCAAGCTGCTATACCATCGGCTGGATCTCCTGGGCCAGCCCAGTGCTTGCCTACACTTCAAACAACTTGCAACCCTAGGTAAAGTCCTTGCACTTCTCAGTTTCCCATGTGAGTTGAGTCCTGACAGCTTACCCTAAGTGTGTCTAACTCCTGTACAAACACCCCCATCCCCAATTTAAAAACAAAGTAAGGTGATGCATGCATACAATGTCCAGTGGTTTGGAGATAACAGGTGTGAAAACCTGTTCGACGTCTTGCTGGGGTCCAGTTGGTCAGCAGAAGCTGAAAGGATTGTGAATGAGACTAACTTATTTGGGATGGACTCTCAGAAGAAACCAATAAGGAAGGAGAAGACAACAGGATAGGGAAGGGGGAGGGAAAGGCAAATTCACTTTCAAATGTTTTCTAACCCTGGCCTCACCCTGTAGGAGAACCCTGGGGTATAAATTACACCTCAGTTTGTCCAAACCTGCTACTTTCATGCTGCTTTTCATTTTCACTCTCTGCTGATCTTGGAGAGCAGTTTCCTAGCTTACAAACCATCCATAAAGAGAGCCAGGTGTTATGATTCAGCAGGTCAAGTCTGCACGTAGGACACCCACATCTCTTATCAGAGTTTGGTACTCTGTGCTAGTCATCCAGCAGGTACATCCCTGCTGGTGCCCCTGGGTTGGCAGTAGATGATGGCCAAGGTGTACGAGTGCCCTCCAGGTGGGAGTCTTCAGCCTGGCTCATCCACAGTTATTACAGGCTTCTGGGAAATGAACCAGCAGATAGAAGAGCTCTGTGTGTCACGTCATGTTTCAAGTAGATAAGCAAACCTTAAAGAGTCACAGGTACATCCCATTAAAGGTAAGATCATGAGGAGAGTGACGCTGAGGTGAGAGCAGGAGACGGAAATCATAAAAATGATGGCAGGGATCTTTGTAGCACACCAACCATGTCTACCCTGAGGTCTGACTCAGGACTCAGGAATATGGAACTCAAAGGAAGCTGAATAAAAATTACATTTATTCTGTATTAGACGTGTTTATCAAATTCATACCTGAGTTGGCAAGTAGTAGAATGAGACATTCTAACACAGAAAGGAGAAAAGCTAAGATCTTACTTCTGTATCTCTAATCTGCCTTATGTCGAACTCATACAAGGCATATGCCATCTTGCCCATACAGAGGCATCACTAATCTACAGTCTGAAATGTTCCAAAACATACTCCATTTCTGAGGTCAGTGTTGATGCCACATTCCATATCAGAGTGTCTGAGCTCAAAACCAGGATCCAGGTTTCTACAAGTCAGACCCCAGAAAGGAGCTGGAGGACTCAAGGAAATAATTTCCTGCCGCCCACATGGCAGACTTAATCTCTCAGCTCCTAGTTTCAATCTCAGACTCTGGGAAACGAAAGAGAAAAAGGTGTGCTTTTTCTTCCCCCACCCCCCCCAAACAAATAATATGCTATGTTAACTTATCGTTAGACTGTGTATTATGCATATATGAAACATAAATATATTTTATGTGTAGCTTGGGTTTTATCCCAAAGGTATCTTCTTATGTATATACAAATATTACAGATTTTGAAAAATTCCAGAGTGCTTCTAGGACCAAGCATTTCAGATAAGTGATTCTGAGCCTGAACACAGTATGTTCATGGAGTGGAAAACACACGCTGTTTCATTATTGAAAATTGTTCAGAGAATAAGAATTCTCACACAGCTGGCAAGCTCATGTCACCAGTCTCTGGGTTCCAGATGACACACTTGAGCTCAGATTCCTCCTTTAGATTCTGTCCTGGAAAGTCCTGCCTGGACAAGAGCAGGCTGGACCAAGTGGCCTGTTCTGTGACACATGCCAGCAGTGTTGACAGCTTGGAGAGAACCAATAATGTTAATCCATTTGTTTGTTTTGATTTGGGCTTTGGGACTCTTGCTTGTTTTTGTGTAACAATCTACACTAAGAATTCCAGTTTTTTAACAAATACTTAGAGGATGTGTGTGTGTGACTCTTCAGATCTCTGTGAACAGGCTTGATACTACTGCCAGTGAAAATGAAATCGCTGTTTTGAAATTTGGGACACTGGAGTGCAACAGCTCTCTTGATGAGAAGGAATCTCAAGCCCAGATTGTCTTTATTCCCTTGGGGCAGTCCCTCATAGTTAACATTAGTCAGTTTGTGAGTCATCAGCCACATGCAGCTATTGCACACTGAAAATGTGACTGGGAGGTAAATAATTTTTATATTGCTATGTAGTAAAATGGTAAATGTTTTAAATAGGTTGAATCTCATATATATATTGTACATAAAATATATGTGTGTGTATATATATATTGAGTTATTTCTGTTTAAGATTTATTTTCTTTTTATTGGAAAGGCAGATATATAGAGAGGAGGAGAGACAGAGAGGAAGATCTTCCATCCACTGATTCACTCCCCAAGTGGCCACAATGGCCAGAGCTGACCTGATCCAAAGCCAGGAGCCAAAAGCCTCTTCCATGTCTCCCGCACCGGTGCAGGGTCCCAAGGTTTTGGATCGTCTTCAGTTGCTTTCCCAGATCACAGGCAGGGAGCTGGGTGGAAAGAAGAACAGCCAGGATTAGAACTGACACCCACACGGGATCCCAGCACATGCAAGGAGAGAACTTTAGCTGCTAGACTACCATGCTGGGCCCTATTTGTATTTTCTTAAATTGGCTACTAGACAGTTTTAAGTTCCATTTGTGAGTTGTGTTATATTTCAGGTATATTTCAGACATTACTTTGAAAGTGTACATTTAAGGCAAATGCTTAAAAAACCCTCATCTGATACTAGTAGTACCTAGCATCGAGTCGTGCCCACATCCTACCCAGTTTCCTGCTAATGGGCACTCTGGGATGCATCAGGTGATAGCCTAAACACCTGGTTCCAGGATCCTGGCTTCCACTTGGTACAGCTCTAGCTATTACAATGTATCATTCCAACATTATAGATTTCCCCTGTGCTGCTCTTCTCTGCTCTTCCAAATTCAGACTCTGCTCCCACTTGCTGTTCCTGGCACTTCCTTGCATGGACTGACCACACAGACACATGAATCCACAGCAAGCACACTGCTAGACAGCCTCATCTTTTCCAAAAATCTGATTTTCTCTCCTTGATTATTTATGGTAAACATAATCATAATCTCACAGAATACCCCCATAAAAATCATGATACTGGAATAAGAAATCATAGTTTCTGAAGAGGAGATAATTCTGAGTCATCCCACTCAACATAGTTGAAAATTCTGGCTGGAAACAAGCTTGGGTTAAAACCTTCTTGAAATATAGGAACTAACAGAATCAGTAGGAGGGAGTGAGTCAAAATCTAGAAGAACTCAGAGGGTTGACATGTGCACATCCGAAACTGTAGTATCTGGGGATGACCCCTGTCTGCACTTTCTACTCCAGCATCCTGCTAAGTGTGCCCATGGTTAGCCATGTCACCCAGATAGGAGACACCCAGATTGAGTCCTGATTTTAATCTGTCCCAGCCCCAGCTGTTACGGGCCTTTAGAGTATGAACCGATAGATGGGAGATTGATGTCCTATCTCTCCCCCTTTCAAATAAAATGATTTTTTTTTTCAATTTTTAATAGAAAAAAAAAATAACTCAGCCAATTTTCCATACAACTTTTGCAATACATATATTTACCAATCCAGAAGAAATAGCTATGAAATTATACTGGCTTTGGGTAGCTCAGTAGAGCTAAAAAATGAAGCAAAAATAATGCTGAGTCCCCCAAAAGTAGGGACTCTAATATAGGAAACCACTTTCTTTTACTCTCGCCTCCTATACACACCTGCATTTAGTAAAGATCCTTTAAGGCTATACCTTTGGGGTACAGGTGAATTAAAAGCAAACTATGCCTCATCGTGGCTGTCCTGTCTCTGAGTGACTTAGGGAGTCCAGGCCCTGGATTAGCTGAATGTGAGTGAGTCACAGTGTGTAAGGATTGGGCCAGCCTGCCAGCTCCTTGTTGGTTTCCACCATCTCACCCTGCCCCATCAAGTGCAACATCCTGTTGCACTTGACAGATGAAACAAGTCTCCTCTGGCAAAGGCAATCCCATCCATTTAGGCCCCAAGCTATTCCAACAGGTCAGTTTACAGTACAGTGAGGAGCAGATTGCCAGGCTTACTCACTTCTCTAGGACAGTCTACAGAGCTATATGTGTCTTGGGACTTTGCAGGGGGAAGAAAGGAGGAAAGTTATATCCATTGGCCTTTATTTGTCAGTCTCATGCCCATGGAGTCTTTTTTTTTTTTTTTTGGCCCGTGGAATCTTAATTCCCATGTACTCTGGGATGATTGCTCTAGTGTCATTTCATGCTGTCACCCAGCAGGGAAGCTCTGAGCCACTCGTGGGAATGGCTCAAGTACTTAATTCACTTGCTCCCGCAAAGGAGACTCCTAAGGAACTCCTAGCTGCTGGCATCTGACTGACCCTGCCCCTGCTACTCTTGGCTTTGGGGAGGGAGGAGCCAGTGGAAGATTTTCTGTCTCCCTCTCCCCATCTTCCTTTCCTCCCTCTTTCTGCCTTTTTGGAAATGATTATGAATGTTTAAAAGCAACAGCAGAAATAACCATTTTGTAAGAATAAAATAGAAAGCTAAGGACAATCCTCCTCTTAGATATCCTCTTAGGTAAAGCCAACGATTAAATATATACACATAACCACTTTATTTCTACAAACTTCAGTTTTCGTCCAGTGTGTCTGCCTCTGTCCTATCCTGCTTCTTAAATGTCCCTGCTCATCCAAGTCACCACAATGATTACTGAGCACTGGTTGCCAGCAGGACTCTAATCTGCCTATTTCTCATTGAGTAACTCATCACTTTGACACATGCTAACACATTTAATACCACAATTCTATAGAATGGTGCTAATTTCTTCTCCCGCCTTTCAGGTCGGGGGAAAAAAGTCATCCCATAGCCCATGAGCAATGGAGCCCAGAGTGTTTTGAGGGCCTCTTGTCCCAGGCTGATGGTGGGAGCAGGCTGAACCTTGGCTCACCTGCATTCACAGGGCTGTGTCCTTGGTGCTGCACGTTAGGGACCATAAGCTTCCTGACGGGAGTACCATGGCCATTTCCCTTTTACGCTGCTCTCCATGGCCCTGGTCTCCCTTTGGACAGGGTGCAGCTACAGCCATGGCTGGCTTGGCCAGAGCCAGGATGGCACCTTTGTCATGGCCTGAGGGGATGCCTGGGAGTTCTCAGGCCGGCTTTGTCTCCTTCTTTTTCAGAGAGCCCAACTGTCATGCTGGCTGCCGGCAGCTTCTCTTCCCCCTACGAGCACCTTAGCCAGCCTGAGACAAAGCGCATGGTGGAGCATTACACAGCCTATCTCAGCGACAACACCCGCCTCATTGCCAACCCAGGCCTCAAAGTGAGTGCTACAGCTGGGCCTCTCAGCTGGAGAGCCCCAAGTGAAGGGCGTGTGGCCAAGGGCAGACTGCTCAGCCCTGGCCCTTCTCATGGGTTAGGAAGCCTGGGTGGGGGGGAATCACATGAAGGTTCTTTGAGGCCTCAGATAACACCATGGAGGAAAGAGAAGGTAGAGGACAGGCACAGGGTTGAGGGTGGTGTGGTTGAGAGACTGGTAGAACTTTCTCAGGCATAAGAGGTGCAGTGGTCCTGCTGTCGGTTAAGATTGACACCATCCAGTCAGACAGGAGGGCATATTTCTGAGTGCTTTTGAGTAAAATTTTTCATCTTCAACTCAGAAAGCCTAGCTAAGATGAACAGTTAAGTCATCACACATGCACTGACTGTATTTCTGCAAGCGTTTGTTTTCACCAAGTTTGGCCACATCCATCTGCTGTGAAAAGATTTTTAAGAAGTAATTGGGTTTGGCCTCTCTGCGAGAGAGCTTGGGGAGGCCCTGCCAGCAGCCGGCTGTCTTTTCATGTGAGTTTTAAAAGATCCCTGCTATGTCTCCCTTTGTTTCCCAGTTCTCTGTCAGAAATGAAGTAATGGCTACCAGCCACGTCACAGATGAATGGATGACACAAATGGAAATGAGTAGCCTGAACACTTACATTGTCCGCCGTTACATAGCAACGCCCAATGGTGTCCTCAGAATTTATCCTGGTTCCCTCATGGACAAAGCATTTGATCCCACTAGGAGACAATGGTGAGTTTTAGGGGCATCCATTATCAAAGATTCCCTCCAATCCTGGACAGACATGATAAGTACATACAACAAAGCAACTTCAGGCAAGCACATGAAAGAATATACTTTCATGGTACTAAAAACTGTATTTGAATAATTTTGTTTTCACTGTAGCATTAACAATAGGCTTGTGGGTTTTATGTGCGTACATATTTCATCTCCATTGAAAGTTTGAGACTGAAATGTTTTCTGCTTGGCCATTTTGATTCCTAGTGGTTTGTTTGATTCCTTCCTTATGCACATTGTAACCACAATGGATGTACTTCCCTTAACTACCTGTGATGATGGCATCAAATTCTAGTTCATGTATGACCTGGCAGAAAGAAAGAAATAAGCACACAAATTCAAACCATTCTTGTACTTCTCAGACTTAGTGTTACCCTGATTTTTCAAAGCAAAAAGCTGCTCAGGTTTTATATCATGGAGCCAGTGTGCCCAAAAGAGCAGAGTGCTGATTAGAAGTTGTAGCAACCTAGTCCTTCCTGAGTCAGCTGTTCCCCAACTCTTAACAATCCAGTGTACATTTGTGGGCCCCAAACTACATGTTTCCGCTTTATGTATTCATTCTCTTTTTTAAGCTCTGTGTTATAATCATTTTGAAAAGAGAAACTCTCAGATTCCTTTGGACTCTTGTATTGATGCTAGTCCAGTAGAAAAGATAGGAATCCTTTGAATTTTAATATATTATGAGCACAACTTGATAAAGATTTTTTTTTCAAATGACAAGCTCACTTCTCTTTGAAATTTAGCGTGGCCATTCATACCACAGAGTAACCTGACTGTCTTTGAACTCCTAGGTATCTCCATGCAGTGGCTAATCCAGGGTTGATTTCTCTGACTGGTCCTTACTTAGATGTCGGAGGTGCTGGCTATGTTGTGACCATCAGTCATACAATTCATTCATCCAGGTAATAGTTCACTTTTTTTTCTTTTGTTTTAGTTATTTCTTAAATCCATCAAATTTTGAACAATTTGAATGAAATAGTAAACACCAAGGATCATGACCTTTGGGACGAGGCTGGCTGTGTTGGACATTTCTAGCTGACACCTTAGATTTCTAGAGCTTCCTTCCGACATCTATAAAATGGGGTGCTACTTTATATGGCTAATGTGGAAGTCAGTGAATGAAAGATTCTGGGCCTTGGGCGTGGCAGCCGTGAATGATGTTTATGAGGAAGGAAGAGGAGGATACTGGATTCAGTGGAGGCCCCTGTAGAAACACCAATTTTAAGTTGATGAAAGAAATAACAGAGCCACCCAGTCATACTGTCACACATGAGTTTGTTGCTCCCTGTGATTAAATCTAACTCTGTAGAGTTAAGAGTTGTTTGGTGTTTGCTTTTTTTTTAATCTGTCCTTGAAACTGATTTTAAATATAAAATGGCTTTTTTTAATGGATTTTACCAAAATGCTAGAAAGTGTCAGTGTCACTGCAAAGATATTGGAGTGTCTTATTTCCTGCTTATTTATTCTGTAAATGTCAGTGAAATGTTGAGCAAAGAAGCAAGTTGTGTAGGTTGTTCTAATCCCTTCATTATACAAGTCACTCTTTTTCCCTAGCAACCAAGGAAAACCATGTTCTGACTGGTGCCTATAATGGTGCCTTAACATTTATAAGAAATTGATTTTCTCCTTGAGCTCTGAGATCTTCAGTGCCGCACATTATATTACAAATGATTCATATTCAGAATTCCTCTAATTCAAGTTCATGGGGACCGAGAATTGGGAAGCAGTATGGTGTGTAATTTCATTGTCAAAGCCAATGTCTGTGTGACATAGCAGGGCCTTGCAACCAGCCACCTATCACTTTGCTTTGCATGGTCTGTGTCTGTTGGGCTCTGGTGGTTGCTCTCATAATGTAGATTGCCACACATGAACAGTAAACACTTCCAACAGCTCCCTCGGTGTTTTCATTAACAGGCCATCTGCTGGAAAGGCACCTTACTCATGTTTGAGAGGCAAAACGTGTTGGCCCACCTGTGTATGCTAGTCTAGTTCCAGAAAAGTGAACAATGAGTATTTGAGAGGACAATGGTCACTCACCTTGTTCTTTGATTACAATGAAATGGACCACACGTGGATTTTTAGTGGAAAAATAAGAATTCAGGTATCTCTAAATCCTGAGGAATACATCAAACCCCTTACCTGGCAACTGCTTTTCAAGAGCTTTTCAAGTGGCCCAGGCCAGAGCAGGGCTAATTTGTATTTTCTATTTCTTCTTTTTGATCTGGTTTTTTTTTTTTTTTTTTTTTTTGGATGGGTGAAACATTTTATTTCAGATGCTTACAATTCCTTATGGTATCACTCTAAGTGATGTATGGTGGACAACTTTCAAGCTAGAAAAACCTGGGTTCACCTCTCTTATTTGGTTGCTTTCATTTTGTGGATTTAACCTGCACAAGTTTACCTATGCAAGTTTAACAAGGAAAAAGAAATGGTTTTTAGTCTCTCCAGATTCTATCTCGTAAGTTTCTCTATGAATATGTATTCCCCAGAAATACTGTATGCTCTTGGGCCTGATCAATATGCAATCCCACAGACCTGATCATTCTCAGCTGAATGCAACTGTATGTGTGCGTTTCGTTGCACACAGGTCTGAATGCAGGTCAGCCACCTCTTCAGGTGTGCAGTGAAACTGACCATGACTTGGGTGCTATTGTGTTGATAGGACTTCTGAGAAATCCTTTTGGCAAAACACTTCTAGTGATTTTGGCATCATGTGTCTGCCTGAGGACCCCACCTCCTCTCAAATGTGATCCCACTGCAGGAAATGTAGTTAGCTGTCTGACAATAACGAAATTATGTTTGGCCTGTTTCCTGACCTAGGACAGAAGGACATTAAGAATCTACCTCCAATGCTTAGGTTGAGGGTTAAATTTAACATGTGTAAGGCCTTCGTAACATTGCCTGAAACATGGTAAAACCTTGATAGACATGAAAAACTTTCGTTCTGTTCCGTGAGAGCCTCTTGTAATGCTCACACAGAGCTGGTATTTAAGAATTACCTATAATGCATGTAATATGCTTGGTGCTGCAATTGATCATGTTGGGTCCCAAATACATGGTAGTTGTTTTATTGTCATGCTATTTGTGCTTTAGACATCCAGAACTTTAGCAGTGCAAAGAAAAAGCTTAAGCTAATAGCTTGTCATGAAGCACTCCAATTCACCTTTGGTTTTCAGGAGTAATTTGGCTGAAAGTGATGGAAGGATTTCCTAATCAACACTCACTTTCAGTTATTCCTAGCAGTTCTGCTGCGGTTCCTTCATGAGCATGTTAGCCTGACACTGTTTCTTAGAGAATGGTAACACTACCAGAGATGAAGTACTGCCATTGGTAAAGGACTAGTCAGACATCTCTTTGGCAGTGAAGTTTCTCACTTCAGTGTTGCAAACAGCCTGCTCTGTTCTACTTAGAAATGTAGGTTTGGCTTGATTTTTTTTTCTGTGACATTCTTTGAGTTGCTATGGCAACAGTATGCCTATCTGAAATGCAGGTAAAACTATGAATGCCAGGCTTACATGGACAATATGCATGCTGCGACTTCAGTGTGTTGATCTGTTAGAGCAGATAGCAATTATACCAGGGCAGGATGGGTAGTTCAGAAATAAAACTACCCTCTCCCAGAACACTCAAGTTACTTTTTTACTGCAACAAGCTGTAATATTATAGAAAAAGCCAGATTTGGTACTAATTTCTGTGCCATCAGTAAACAGTGATTGTGAGCCATTTAACCATTCTAACCTTCATTTTTTCCTATTTCTGAAAGTGAGAACTGATTCCTTCCTGGTTTCTTTACAGGAAATGCAATTGTGTTAATAGCTTAATAACTCTTGAGTATCTTGCAGAACTCAGAAGGCGGTGTAACTTCAGGTTAAGAATACATGCTTTGGAATTGCAGTCACTGCCTTTTAATCCCTTCCTCCACTAAGTAGTCATTGTGTGACCTTGACAAGCATCAGTTTTCTTGAGATAATTATACCTTATAAGATTATTATGAGAAATAATACTTTATTTTCTTTTTGGTACTTTCTTTACAAAGGAATAGGTGGGTTGATGAGGGTAAATGATGGGTACATAACTCACGCTGGGTAAACCCTGCAACTTCTCAAGTCATAAGAATATTGAAATTGGTTAGCCTGTGACCTTGCAATTACCCATGGATATAGATGAAAAAGAATAAATAGTCCAAATGAAACATCCAACATTTTCTGATATGCCAGGAAATTTAAATTCATGCTCAATCCAGGCCTACTCTCACTGTTTAGTGGTCTTCATTGAGCTACTTTGGTCCATTGAGTGTTTCTTATATGTTCATTAAGCAGCTGGATAAGCACTGTATCTTATTTAATCTCAATTATAGCTTCCTAAAGTATGTACCATTACTGTCCCCATATTAGGGTGAGAAAACTAAGGCTTTAAAATGTTAGCTAGCATCCCAGAATCACACTGAGATCCATAAGGCCAAGATTTGAATTTAGATCTGCTTCCTTCTAGAAAATTAGCTTCAAGTTTTACTGTCCAACTTTCTCTTGCTTTGTTCTCCTCCTCCTAATGAGATAGCCTTGTAGATTGGAGAAAGCCATGGCCTGTAAGACAAGAGTCTTATTCTAGATTGTGAGCTATGCTTGGAGTCAAGTCAACTTTAGTGTTGTGGAAAGAAAACTAGACTGAACATTATTCCTACTTAGTTTTGTGTGACATGGCACCAGTTAACCTGCACGAGGTATCACTTTTCTTCTCTGCAAAATGAGGGAAATAAACAGGAGGGTTACTCGGGATTTTTTTCTAGAGTTTTTTTTTTCTTAAATAACCATAGCACCTATAGGTAATACCTTCCAGCGTGTCCCTTTGCACCCATAAGTTTTTTCTCAAGAAATTTCCATATGATATTAAATTACTGAGTCTTTTTAAGCATAGAAAGTGGAGCAGAAGAACAGGGATGTATTTCTGGTATCAAACAACGTCCCCATGACTGAATATTTCTTTAAATAAGCCATGCCTCTTATTGATCTTTTTGACATAAAGTACACAGATGTCTTCTGGACACACGGTGGCCGTGATGGGCATTGACTTCACGCTGAGATATTTCTACAAGGTTCTCATGGACCTGTTACCAGTTTGCAACCAAGACGGCGGCAATAAAATAAGGTAAACCTCTTAGAGACGTCATTTTCTATCCCAGCTGCCAAATGGATATCAGTCCATAGCTGAATGGTAACTACACAATATTTATGGTCAGAACCATAAATCAAATCCATGGCCTATGTGTTCTATTAAGAAAGAGTTTGCTCTTTTTGTTTTTTTCTTTCTTTCCTTTTTCTAAGATGCATGTTTATGATTTGTTTTTAGACACATAGACTCGGCATTTGACAAAACTAACTGGCAGAGAATGGCCCAAAAGCTCTTATTTCTCCAGAAGTCAGTAATTAGAGGTTTCCCATGTCTTTGGTACTAGAAAGACCAGAGGGTACTCTGGGTAGAACTTTTGATGTTAACTTAGTCATTAAACCAAAGTCTTTGTGAAATTTTCGGCTGCTTGGGCTGCTGCTTTTACATTTCCCCAGAATGAGGCTCATGGAACTAAAAGTCTTTGCCCCCTGAATTTCAAAAGAGCATGTCTGATCAAAGCAAGAGCATTCCCTTGAGTTAATGCAGGCTGCTTTTAAAAATGGCTTTCGCGTTCAGTCTCATGGCCCACGTTTCATGTCACCACTGAATTTCACATTGGCTCTTAATGGGGGAAATGCAGGATTCCTGCAAACTGGTGTGACTAATGTACAGTAAAACGAAACAAAATGCAGTCTTGATTAAAGCACTTCTGGCTTTCCTTATGCATTGTTTCCATCAAATACATTTTTACGTAACCCCTTAAATGTCGCGGTCTGTATGTTTGTCACTGAAAGAAGTTATGAAAGTTTTGCTTGTAAGTACCCTCAGGGTCTCCCTTGCCTGAAAAAAGAACAGACTTCCCACGTTTACCTCCTTGCAAAGATCTTTAAGTCCAGCTTACTTAACGCTGAGTAAGCATATTGTCTGGAACATGTGGATGACTTCAGAGTCAAGTGTAACTCTCATCTGCACCTGTATCCCAGCTGTACTGCCATCCCAAGTATAATGCACTTGTCTACCTTCCTTTGCTTTTCAATGGTTGCTCATGGAGAACCAGAAGTCATTACCGTGCATTTCAGAGATAGCCAGATGAATGCCCCGTGAGGCCATAGGAAGCAGCTAACCTGAATGAGAGCCATCTTTTGTTTTGATACAGGTGCTTTATAATGGAGGACAGGGGTTATCTGGTGGCACATCCAACTCTCATTGACCCCAAGGGACACGCACCTGTGGAACAGCAGCACATCACTCACAAGGTATCTGTCATAACACTGATGCGTGCAGTTCTTCAGTAGCCCGCAGCTTATTATATAATATGTATCTTCTGTTTGGCCCTATTAGGAGCCCCTGGTAGCAAATGATATCTTGAACCACCCCAATTTTGTAAAGAAAAACCTGTGCAACAGCTTCAGTGACAGAACCGTTCAGAGGTTTTATAAATTCAATACCAGCCTTGTGGTGAGTTAATTCCAGAACATTCTTTTGCATGTGAAATGGAGTAATGATTAAAGCCTAAATATCAGTCTGGCTCCCAATTTGACAGTGGTGGAATCGAAAGCCCACAGTAGAGAAGTGAATGTTTTAAGGTGTCACACTTGGTGTTTTGTTTGGATTTTGTTTGTATAAAGTCTCGCTCGATCTAAGTCCTTTGAAATTGCTGCTGAAGTCTGTTCCCACACTCTTGTGTAAATATGTGTGGCACCATGTGCTCCTCTCTTCCTGTCTTCGAGAGGTCACGCAGACTCCTTAAATTCCCAAGGTCAAGTTCAGTCCGTTCTGGGTCATCTGCCCTCTAGATGGGAACTTTCATTTAAATCATCCAAAAATAATTTTGGTTTTCATATTTTTTTTCTTTAGTTTAGAATGTTCTGTATAATACAAGTGGCTGCAGATTAACTTGGTTTAACTTCAGAGAGAACTAAAATGGGAAATGACACAACTAACATTCAGAAAATTATTCATGGGAAATCTTTTATTTAAAATACACTTTTCAGTGATTAAATGTGTGATTAGAATTAATTTTAAAATTAACCTAATTACCTAGGATGCAGGCTACATCTCAGAAAGTTGATTGTCATCTTGACCAATGTCTATTTCAGAGGAATGTTTGGGTGTTTGCAGGCGAGGTTGTCTGATGAAAGTCTAGCTTACTCTCTCATCATCTGGACAGTGGTTTCTGGAGACTTCAGTAGCCATAGCCAGGATACTCAGCTAGAAACTTTTCAGAAAGGTATATTGTAATTGAATATGAATTAGCCCAAGTTGGCCCAAAATGGAATTGGAGGTCTCCTCAGTACTGGCACCAACAGGAAGATATGGCTGTGTTATTGCTTATATGCTGGCAGTGGGAAATTCATCCAGACCCCTGAGAACCTGCTCAGTGCCTTGATCCCCAGAATAAGGCTCATTGTCATCATCGTCATCATGCATACATAAGGAACGAAGGGCAAGAGAAAGATACGTTGAAGTAACTTGCCTGGTACATTATACATTCTGCGTCCTTGCAGAAGAATGATCACCCACAGCTCTAATAGCACTTTTGAATCTTTGGTTTTCTATTATAGTAGGCAATTCAAGAAACTAGGCTTCATATTTCCCCATTATAGAATGAAGAAAAGGGATACGTGCTGTCACTGAGTGGTTCAAATTTGCCGGAAGCCAGAAACTGGACTTTTAGATCGCCTTATTCAAAATAGGCAAAAGACATATCTCCAAAGAGAGTTTGGTTTGCCTTTGAATCAATTGTGAGCTGTCCTGTACCTGAAAATTGTCTTGCTTCTTCAGATTTCAATTTTATATATATTGTTAAAGTGTAGGTTATAAAAATTTATATTTGCACAGGCATGGACAAAACAACACACGATGCATGTCTAACACAATTGGTAAGCAGGAATTCTCTCTCATTGATAATGAGTAGTTTTTTACATTCTGGATTTTTAGCAGTGCCTCTGTATTACTTTTGCAACCAGAATAAAATTTCATTTTTAAGCTATTTTCAGCAGGTAGTTGAATTGTTGCCACCACGGTAGGGCTGAGGCTTTGCCTTGCTGTCTGTCACATCTGACACTTGGTTGTTTTGTAGGGGGATTTGACGAACCTTGTGCATGGCAGCCACTGTTCTAAATACAGACTGGCGAGGATCCCAGGAACCAATGCATTTGTGGGCATTGTCAACGAGACGTGTGACTCTCTTGCCTTCTGTGCCTGTAGCATGGTGGACCGACTCTGTCTCAACTGTCATCGGTAAAAATGTGATGAGGCCTAGTCTCTGTTTGCCACACTGTCAAGTGCTGCCATGGGTGCCAAGCATTTTCAAGTGGCATCTGCAGAAAGGACAGAAGAGGATGATGTGTGTCCCGAGGAAAGAGGAAGTCCCAGTCACTTAGAGCTTTGTGGTTTACAGCATCCTGGTCCAACATAGAACATTGATCATAACTTCTTTCTTACTGCTCTTTATTTTTCTTGCCCAGTGCATATATAATATTCGGCTTGCCATTGGCCTTCAGCATAACAACTTTCTTTTGACTTTTCAGAATGGAACAGAATGAATGTGAATGTCCTTGTGAGTGCCCCCTAGAGGTCAACGAGTGTACTGGGAATCTCACCAATGCAGAGAACCGGTAAACACACACACACACTCCTGCACACCATTATGCAATACCATACACACAATTATTCAATGCCATGGGGTCTTTTATAAACCTTTTTAGGTTGGAATGGATGAAAATAATTTTTTCTAATGTAGGACTTCTCAGTGAGGCAGATATTAGGCTCCAGAGCCTTAAAATGACATCTGCTTTGAAGTTTAAATCCAAAAGCTGTGAAAGTGTTAAGAATGTATATGCTACATAAAAAAGAAATGAGATTGTTGGAAGCATTACTAATTGCCTACTGTGTGGTGGTTACTTTTTATGCACATTAAGTTGTTTATTTAATTACACCTGTAATAAATATTCAGACACTTCTCATACAAATTCTCATGTGTACTTATATTACCGTCATTCGTATTAGTGGCAAATTTTAAGATCAAATAACTTAGGATGAGTCCTCTTCTAGTGGTTAACAGTGTCATGTAGATGTGTTTACAAATATAGATGTTTTTAGGCATTAGAAAAATGTCTAAAAGACATTTTTAAACTGTTAACAGTGAAAACCAGTGTAGCAAGTTAGTCCTCCATCTGTGGTGCTGGCATCCCATATGGGTGTCAGTTCAAATCCGGGCTACTCCACTTCCTATCCAGCTCCCTTCTTACAGCCTGGGAACGCAGAGGAGGATAACTCAAGTCCTTGGGCCCCTGCACCCATGGGGGAGACCCAGATGAAGCTCCTGGCTTTGAATCACCTCAGTTCTGGATGTTGTACCCATTTTTGGAGTGAACCAGCACATGAAAGATCTCTGTGTCTCTTCTTCTGTCGCTGTAACACTGCCTTTCAAATAAAAATAAATCTTAAAAAAAAACTATTACCAATAGTTATCCCAGGAAGATTAGATATAAGATGCTTAACAGGGAGATAATGTGTTTTATATTGTTCATTCTGGCTTAGTTGAATGATTATGACTTCCTGTTGCTAAAACACACATCCTCTGTTTTTAGGATTTATTTATTTGAAAGGCAGAGAGGGGGAGACAAATCTTTCCACCTGCTGACTCACTCCCTAAATGGCCACAGCCAGGAGCCAGGACCTCCTGCCAGTTTTCTCACATGGGTTCAGGGGACTGAGCATTTGGGGCCATCTGCTGCTGCTTTCCCAAGCACAGTAACAGGGAGCTAGATCAGAAGTGGAGCAGCCAGAACTTGAACCAGTACCCATGTCGGACACCAGCGCCAGCTGTGGTAGCTTTACCCACTGTGCCACAATGCTGGTTCCTAATGTACATGTTCTTTCTGTTCTGTATAAAGAGGAATAAGTTAAAGCTCGGATCAACTATGTAATAGCTTTAAAGAATATACACAGTGAAAAAGCCAGGATTCAGATCACTTCCAAGGATCAGGGATGTGATGAAAATGTGAGTGGTGTTGGTCCTGACCTCAGACTTTATTTCTGCCCAGAAACCCAAGCTGCGAGGTCCACCAGGAGCCAGTGACATATATAGCCATTGACCCTGGCCTGCAGGATGCCCTTCACCAGTGTGTCAACAGCAGGTGCAGTCAGAGGATGGAGAGTGGGTAAGTGAAACCTTTTTCATAAAGAATCATGTCCTTTAGCCTCATTCAACTTTTCCAACTGCTATTAAATAATATTGTTCTTCATGTTTGTAAAGGTATATCAACTTTTCATATCTCAAACTGATTTCCAGAAACCTTATCTCTATAAAATCAGAGTTGCACCATTCATGCTTGTGAAAGTTATTTGGCATGTGTACTCTGTTGGTAGCCTTGTTTGTAAATCAGAAAATTTTTCTTGGAATTAAATAAGTGTGAAGAGGGACAGCACTGTAGCACAGTGGGTTCAACCACTATCTTCAACGCCAGTATCCCATGTGAATGGCAGTTTGAGTTCCAGGTATACAAATTCTTATTCAGCTCTTTGTTCATGTTCCTGGGAAAGCAACAGCAGATGGCCCAGTGCTAGGACCCCTATCTCCCACATGGGAGACCCAAATGAAGCTCCTGGCTTCTGCCTGGCTCAGCCTCGGTGGTTACAGTCAATGTGGAATGAACCAGCAGTTGACAGACGTTTTTCTGGATTTGTGCCCCTCTGTCACTCTGCCTTTCAAATAAATAAATTCTTAAATTAAAAAGAATAAGGAGACATGGCAAAGCTATAAGAGCTCATGGATGCAGATACCTCAAGTTCTTTAACGTTCTTCCCTCACACGGATTCTGAAAACTGAAAACAATTGGCCCCTGTGTCCTCCGCTCCTTCGGCTGTTTTGGACCACACGTGGTACAAATAGTTGCTATGGGGAACTATAACGGGGAGATGTGGTTAGTTTTACCTTTCAAATAAAATGAAAATAAAAACATTTTTAAGTTGAGAAATTGGCAGTAAGGAAATCTGAGTAATTAGCATGGAATTCTCAGACCTACATGACTATGACAATTCTTTCCTTTTCTTTCTTTTTTTTTTTTTTTAATGAACACACTCTTGGGTAAGATGAAGCCAAAATCTCACAAACTTGGGGCCATTTCTGTTTGATTTTGAATAATCCTGCATTAGTCTGTGATGAGTATACCATAATTTAACTCACAGAGAGCAGCGTTATGTCTCTGATTTGCAAGTTGTTGAAAGGCATGGCAGAGCTGACTCCTGGCAGACACGTGCTCTTCTCATGTTAAAGTAAAGGAGCAGGAGCGCTGTGTGCTGCCTAGGCTTGTGTGCGTTCCCTGCCCCGCTGCCTCCTAGGCACCAATGACTGGCTTTCTGGCAGGGACTGCTTCGGTGTGCTGGACTGTGAGTGGTGCATGGTGGGCAGCGATGGAAAGACTCACTTGGACAAATCCTACTGTGCACCCCAGAAGGAATGCTTCGGTGGCATCGTGGGAGCAAAAAGTCCCTATGTCGATGACATGGGAGCAATAGGTATGTTTCTTAGAAACCCAGAGTAATTAAATTCTGGAATACACGTGTTCCTCCCTCTAGGCTAAGACAGAAATCTTAAAATCATCCTCTTTCTGGATTGTTTCACCAGTAGTCTTTAGTCACAAGGCCAAGGCAGATAATTCCCTTCAGGGACGCCTAGATGCTCCGTGCAGAATGAGTGAGCAGCCATCTGTCCTGTCAACGTTTTACAAGCCTGGAATTCATTTCCATAAAGTTTGTTCTCAGACTGAACCTCATTTCTGCATGGCTGAGCTCTAGAGTCTGCTTGAATGCGAGGCCCAGCTGTCAGAAGCACAGGACCAGCGACATGCATAGTGACTACTGCCATCTATCTGAACCAAAGCCTTCCCTCCCAACTTCTGCAAGGTAGAAGTCTTAAGAACGTCTGTGCCTTGCGGTCAACAGATCCACAGGAGAACCTCTGAGGTCAGGTTCTAAGATCATAAAATACTGACCCAAGAGACTAGCCCTCACTTGAATTGTGGGTTGTTTGTCTCATTGTGCTTCTGGAATCAGCCCCAAGTCCTAACTCTGAGTTGGCATGTGAGTCAAAAAGTCAAACTTTGAGGTAATGGAGATGCTTCCTTGACTTACAATGGGATTATAAATCCATCAGACGTTTAAAAATACCTTAATCAAAAAGGGCCACCAAACCTTCCAATCACCATAGCTCAGGAGCAGCCCAATGGAGTGTGGGCTTCCTTGTGCCCAAAGGGCCAACAGGAAGCTCCACTCATGGCTACTACCCAGCATCATGAAACAGGCTGCTACACATGCTACCAGCCCAGGAAAGGAGTCACCATGCAAAACCACAAGTGTGGTTTCTCTCAGGTGTGTATTGTGTTCATACCATCAGAAGTCAGTGTTGTTCATGTGTCTGCCAAACCCCTGCTCACAGTATGCCTTCTTGTCCTTCTACCCAGTTTCGATCCCTACCTCCACATGTGCTTAAGGAATCTGGCCAAGGAATCTCTGCTTGTTTGCTTTCCTGCAGGTGATGAGGTGATCACATTAAACATGATCAAGAGTGCCCCTGTGGGGCCCGTGGCCGGAGGGATCATGGGCTGCATCATGGTGCTGGTCCTTGCTGTGTATGCCTACCGTCACCAGATCCATCGCCGCAGTCACCAGCACATGTCTCCTCTTGCTGCCCAAGGTGAGCTCACTGTGAATCCCAGGACGCCTCCTGGTAGGTGGCAGCCCCCTTTGGGTTGCTTTCAGGCCAGAAGGACAGTGGCCAATTCAGTAAGCCCGTAAGGAGTTATTAGAACAATGCTGCATTTTCCGTTTCCATGGAGTTATTTTGCAAGTCCCTAAAACCTGCTTTCTTCTTTAGTTGCCTACACTCTAGAAACTACATTTTGACTGCCCGGGAAAGCCTTGGGTTCTCCCACTTGTCAGCATTAGCTCTCTGTAGCCTGCCTCTGCAGTGAGCCAGGATCAGGGGCTGGGACACTAAGGGCCAGTTTTGCTTGTCAAATGTGCTACCCTAGTCATTGCCAAAAAACAGGCAAATCAAAGGTATCCCAGATCATTGTTGGCAAGGACAGGAGTCTGTGTGAAGGGACACTTTTGAATAATCACAGCTTTTAAGGCAGGCTAGGTCATGGAGGCCAAATAGAAACTGGTCATGAAGCTGTGATTGTGACCGCGTTACCAGAAGCCTGGAGTGTAAGCATCGATTTGTTGTTAGGGAGCAGAACTGTCCCATGGCTGCGCCTTCCTCCTTAAAGCCCCAGGCGTGTGTTAACCTGATCTTCGTGGAGGTGGAGTCTTCCTCCTGGCTGCTTAGTGCCCCTCTCAGCAGTGCTGGCAGGTGGATGTTGGCATGTTGCAGCGTGAGCTGCGGTCCTGAAGCGGCCATCGTTGGGTACTGTTGCCTGGTTTCACAACAAGGCTGAACACTGTCTCCTTGGTAAGATTTGACTGCACTGCAGGTGACTGTAATCCGGGCCTTCTACAGGCTTTCATGAAGTATTTTGTGAACAAAAGCAGTCATGGGATTAGACCCCTTTTCTCCCATTCCAAGTGCTTTTTTTTTTTTTTCAGTAGGATTGAAGCATCCGTTGACCACCCTCCCCCTCAACTTCTTTGTTCCTCTTCCTTCAGAATTCAATTTCAGGTGCCTCTCTTGATTATTCACTCTTGTTCTCCTTTTGATTCCTGCATCCTCCTTTAAAAAGAAAAAAAATGGAGCACCAGTTCAGCCTTTTCCAAGATAGGATTTGTTCTTGATGGAATGCTGTCACCCAGCCATCAGACGAGCGCTCAGCAGGGTATTAAAGCGGGTGATTTTGTTTGATTAAATAGTCATGTTTCTCTCTTTTTAATGATGGGTAGAGATGTCAGTGCGTATGTCCAACCTGGAGAATGACAGAGATGAAAGAGACGACGACAGCCACGAAGACAGAGGCATCAGTGAGTATTCCGCCGCCTCGCTGCACAATGTGTCAGCGGGGGGCCGATCCAAAATAAATATTCTTTCTTATATCCTTTTGGCTTATATTAAAATTTAAGAAGCCTTGGCAGCATGCAGGGTTTTTTCTTCCCTCCCCTTTTTCTTAGGAAAAAGTACAGGTCTTAGCATTGTGTTAAAAAGTCGCAATTTTTTTTTTCCTTTTTTGCCCTAAAGCCACTCATGCTTCCCCACCTCTCCCAGCCTCATTATCCCCCCCCCACACACACACACACACACACGGTATCTTAGAGGGGAGTTTCAGATGTGCATTTTTTTTCTTTTCTTAATTGATGTATGTAACTCTGGGGGTGGGGGTGAGCATTTTTTTTTTCCAACAAAAATAACTCTGTTACTCATGAGACACTCCGGCTTTCAACTGCCCAAAGCATAGCTACTTGATGGATATAAAGAATATGCCAGTATAACTAAGTACCTCTTACTTTACAAGTGCTAAAATCAGCTCGCCTCATCTTCGGAATTTTTCTGAAGTATTAGTTCTGGGGTCAGCATAACGGAGCTGTGGTGGAGACCCTGCTGGTGCTCCTGTGTCAGCGTGCCAGCGTTCACGCCGCACCCCCATTTCCAATTCCAGCTCACTGCAAATGCCCTCCCCGAAAGGCAGCAGCTCATGGCTCAAGCACTTGAATCCCTGCTATACCCATATGAGAGATTTGGGTTGAATCACCACTCCTGGGGCTGGCCTGACCCAGCCATGGCTCTTAGCAGCCATGAAAGAGCAGACCAATCAACGACACACTCTCTCTGTGTGTCTCTCTGCTTTTTGAAATTTAAAATATATATATATATATATATTTGTCTGGGTTATTTATTCTAACTTGGCAAACAATAGCACTCCCCCATGAGTAAACCTTCCTAAGGCAGTGGTTCTTAAAGCTGAGAGCATAGCAGCAACTGGGTGACCTCCATGTCCTTGGCCTCCCACAGTCAGCAACACACGCTTCATAGCGGCTGTCATCGAGCGGCACGCACACAGCCCAGAAAGGAGGCGCCGCTACTGGGGTCGGTCGGGAACAGAGAGCGATCACGGTAAGTAAGGTCCAGGTGTCTGGGTCCGCTGACCTGAGAAACAGGTGGACTCCATGTGGGATGCCCTCACCACCTCCCTCTTGCCTGTCCTGTGCCGGGGTTTCCCCCCCGCCCCCCCGTGACACCCCACCACGTGACATTGTTTTCTACAAACCTGAGACATGTTCACTTATATCTCGGCTTTCCCAGCCAGATGACCAAATTGCTCTACATAAAAAAATCATTTGGGAGCAGTTGTTTGAGTAGTGGTTAAGATATTATTTAGGGTGCCAAACGGAGTAGCTGGGCTTGACTCCCAGCTTTACTTCTAGTTGCAACTTCCCACTAATGTACAGACTGAAAAGCAGCAGGTGATGCCCCAAGTAAAGGGGTTCCTGCCACCCAGGTGCGAAACCAGCACTCAGTTCCAGGCTCCCCAGCTCCAGATGTTACACGTATCTGGGAGGTAAACCAGTAGATGAAAAGTCTTTCTCTTTCTGCCATTCAGATAAAACTACAAAAAAATGTTTGAAAAGATCATTTTCATCAAAAGAAGAAAAGAATTCCTTTTATCTAAACAGAACTTGCTGACCACTCACTTGACTCTCAGTAAAATTAGCATCGTTCTGGGTCATCCCACCCGGCACTGTTGGTAGGCAAATATTAATGTCAAGTGCTGTCCAGGTACACACTCGTGGGATGTGACAAGAGTCTGTGCTGTCCCCAGCCTTCTCTGGCTGTGAACCTAACCCTTGTCTGGAAGGCTTGGAGAGAAGGTTTTACCAAAGAAGCAGCTGTGCTCTAAACATCCAATAATGGTGGAACAAAAGAAGAGCAAAGGTTCTAAGAGGCGAAAGGACTATTGCGTACCAAATTATGGAGTTAGGCAAGAGTGATTTAAATCTTAGTAGAAAAAATGGAATTATAGGTTTATTTTGGTGCAGAAGAATTTTGAGATTCATGCATGTGAGGGAGTCTCCAGGAAGTTGAGAAAAGCAGGTTGAGCTGCCACCTGGGACAAAAACATCCCGTATGAGTCCCAGTTAGAGTACCAGCTTCCTGCTAATGGAAGATGGTATATTGTTTGGCCTTTGCCCTTTATGTGGGAGACCTGGGTGGAGTTTCTTCTGGACTCCCAGCTTCAGCATGGCCCAAACCCAGCTGTTGCAGTCATTTAGGAAGTAAACCAGCAGATGAAAACAAAATCAAAATATCTCCCTCTCTTTTTCTCTATAACTCTGATAATATTGGGAACGCAAATATACAGAAAGGAGGAGAGACAAAGAGGAAGATCTTCCATCCAATGAATGATTCACTCCCCAGTTGACCACAATGGTCAGAGCTGAACCAATCCAAAGCCAGGAACCTCCTCCTGGTCTCCTACACGGGTGTAGGGTCACAAGACTTTGGGCTGTCCTCGACTGCTTTCCCAGGCCACAAGCAGGGAGCTGGATGGGAAGTGAAGCTGCCAGGATTAGAACCTGTGCCCATATGGATTTCCAGCGTTTGCAAGGCAAGGACTTTAGCTGCTAGGCTACTGTGCCAGGCCCAGTAAAATCTTAAAAAGAAGTTGATGAAACACCTCAGGAAGAGTCAGGTCTAAATTGTGAAGAGGCACTTAACACTAAGAGGCCCCTCGGGTGATCATCAAGCACATGTTCTACCAAAGCCCTGGGCACACTTGGCTTCTCGCTTTTTGCTCGTAGTCACAGAGCACAGCAGGTGCATCCTGTTCTCTAAGCATCCCTGCCACCGTTCCACCAAGACAGGACAGGAGAGGCGGGACTCTGCTTGTCATTATAAAATCTTTTTGTTATTTTTTAGGTTAGCTAAGGGTATCCTATAAATCTTTGATTTATTTATTTTTGTTGGAAAGGCAGATATACAGAGAGGAAGATCTTCCATCTGATGATTCACAATGGCCGGAGCTGAGCCAATCCGAACCCAGGAGCTCCTCCAGGTCTCCCACGCGGGGCAGGGTCCCAAGTCTTTGTCAACTGCTTTCCCAGGCCATAAGTAGGGAGTTGGATGGGAAGTGGGGCCGCCGGGATCAGAACCAGTGCCCGTATGGGATTCCGGTGCATGCAGGGCAAGGACTTTAACCACTATGCCATTGCACCAGACCCAAACCTTTATTTTCTTCCCAGAGTCTGGTCTTTCCCCGCCCCCCAAGTGCATAAATAATATATGTAAGGCTGTTTGACTCAGCTTTTTCCACACCTATCCTGGGGGTTGTGAAAGTCTTCAAGCAGTGTGCTGCACACCTATGTTAACCAAGCAGCCAGTGTTGCCTTCTGCATTCTGCCAGGGATCCCTGCTTCCTTTGGGCAACTGCAGAAGCAGGTGCTCTGTTTCGTAAATCAGAGACTGTTAATTGGGGCTTTCAATGACTGTTCCCACCCACAGAACAGAACCTTGCATTTCTATAGCTAGCTAAAGCAGAACTTGAGTTTTTCAGTTTCTTTGGCTTTCTGGCTTTTTTAAAAAAAAAAAAAAAAAAAAAAACTTTGAACCTGCATAAATTCCTGCTGCCAGGCAGCTCTGTGCCTTCTCCTTGGAATAATAAAACAGGTTTGAGGCTGCTAAAGTTCAACAAGAAAGAATTTCCTATTCAGCATAAAAAGCAAATCTTTTTCTCCCTCACTGACTCCCTCTCTTCCCAAAGGAAAGTTGCATCTATAGCGAATTGGAATTCTGGGTGATGTTTACAATGTCCCGTTGCCCTCTCCCATTGTCTTAGGCAAATGACAAATGAAGCAACAGCTCAGATAAAAGGCAGGTGCAGCAGCAGTATCTGAAAGCAAGGCAGCCAGCGAAGGGATCTGCTTCTTTCATTTTCCACAGTAATTGGCTCCCTGTTATCCCCCAAGGAATCAGAAATAGTTTTTCATGCAGACAGAATGCAACGGCAGAAGAAATAAAAGGCACTGACTTGCCACTTCTTCCAAACACATCATAAAATCAATAGGCTTTAGCTGCTCACCGTCATATCCCTGAACCTAGGGTATGAGTCACTGAAGGCAGTGGCTTTGGGTTCCTGTCCCTGTGCGTGGACGTTAGGTACAGAAATGACTAATTGCTCCGTGGATGTGACCTTGACCTCCCCTCCACCCACCCACCTTTTTTTTTTTTCAGTTGTGGCCTTAGAGGGGCTACTTTGAAAGCTCTGTGTCCTGGTACTTAGGGGTGGGATGAAAATATCTTCCCTGGTCAGGTTATTGTGAGGACTAAATGAAATGACCCATGATAGGCTTGGAGCTCAAGGTTAACCTTCTTCAAGGCCCATCTTGCCCTGAAGGAATTTCTAAGCTGGGAGGAAACCATGAATGAATGCCTGTATTCATGAGGCTGATAAAAGGTGCAGTGTGACAGCTTCTTTAAAGGAGTAGGACAAAGAGGCAGACAGTGCACTGTCATCTGCAGGCACATTACACAGGAGCCCATGGGGACAGCGCGATGCGCCGAGGGGACAGTGGTGCTGTGGTTCTGTGCTACCCAGGGAAAGAATTCAGAGATGTACCAACCCGTGACCGCCATGGACTAGTGCGTGAAATGGAGTTGTGACGCTCCTAGGATTGAAGTTGAATGTTGGCAAGGAAAACTTAGAGACATTCGACTGCATTTTTATCTACAAGTATTTCACATGGCCAGCAGTTGTATTTTTTCAAAACAAACTAATCTTTATTTTCCCATGTTAGAGCCAAAGCCCCTCAAGGAGAACGTGGAATTATTTTTATAGTGGTAGGAGACTACTCAGCCCTTTTTGTTGGCAAATTGTTAAGACCTACAGGTGGAGGTTCAAAACAGTTACTGTTTGTGCATGCCTTTAGCTCTGTACTGAACTTTCCTTTTATTCTGGAAATAGTCATCTGCTGTCTTTTTTTTTTTTTCCAATTACATTTTCCACAAAATCCTCTTGTCTTTGGTCCTTGTGAATTTGTATTTGGGTGGCCATCTCATTAGAAAATTATGCAGACACATTGCGTGAAATTGCTTCTTTGAAAATGGGGGGTTTCTGGGCAGTGCTGTGGCACAGTGAATTCAGCCACTGCTTTCAAAGCTGGCATCCCCATAGGGTGCTGGTCATATCCACTTCCAGTCCAGCTCCCTGCTGATGTGCCTGGGAAAGCAGCTGGAGATGGCAGATGACCCAAGTACATGGGCGCCTGAACCTAAGTGGGGGACCCAGAAGAAGTTCCTTGCTTCAGCCTGGCCATTGTAGCCAGAAGGTGGAACATCCCTCCCTCTCTCCTCTCTCTGTGTAACTCTGCCTTTCAAATAAGTCCGTAAATATCTTTAAAAACAAAAAGAAATGAAAGAAAGGGGGCACTGTTCCCTAGTTCTTGGCAAATTCCAAAATACCTGTAAGGAACATGCTGAAACATGGCTCACAATTCCTTTGCTAGTTCTGCTTACGTTCTCCTGCAGTTACTGCGTGTGGCCACTAGATGGTGAGATGAGTGAGTTGCCCAGAGGGAACTCCCATCTGTTACAATGGAGAGAGGTTTCTTAGGAACCGTCAAATAAACACACGCACTGAGAACATGCCTAGGAGCAAAGGCGGACTCCCGGCTCTTTTCTTCTTTCTGGACCTTGGCTTCCTTCCTGAAGCCTGTTTGTCCCATAGCATTGTGTGTACGGACACTGTCCTATTCATGCCTTTGGATAATATTTACCTTTGCAAGTATAAGAAGAAATGACAGGGGATTGAGCAGTATCCTAGGGAGGGAATTAAAGGGAATGGTCCTAATGGGATTTTATTCAGGAACAGCCTCTGCTGGGGGTGATTATCAGAAAGTGGGACCAAGAAGAAGTGGACCAGGTGGTGGTACCGCAGATTGAGCAGCTGTGTGAAAGACACATCCCAAAGCAGAATGCCAGTTTGTGTCCCAGCTGCTCCGCTTCCCATCCAGCTCCCTGCCAGTGCACCTGGGAAAGCAGCAGATGGCCTAAGAACTTGGACCTGGGACTTCACATGATGGAGATGCTGGCTCCTGACCTGCGCAGTAGATGGAAGATCTCTTTCTTTCTCTGCCTTTCTACCTTTCTCTATCACTGTGCCTTTCAAGTAAACGAATCTTTAGAACAAAGACACATGGTGGCCTCCCAGATGCCTTGGAGACCACTCTATATTCTACCGACCACCTTGGACATGGTCGAGGGCCTGTGCCCAGTGTATCACAGAGCTGTTAGATAACCTGGGCAGATAACCTGGCACGTCCTAGAATGTACATTATCAGTGAGACTGCCAAGTCAGGCCACAGCTAACCCGAACAGCTCACTAACATCCTTGCTGTGGAAATACCATAGTGGGATGAGTGGGGTGTTTTTTTCCAGTGCCCTCTTTGTATGAGACATACAGAGAAATAAATCCTTTGTGATTTAAGAAGAGATAGATAATGGGCACTATATTTTTATTTGATGGTTAAAAAAATAGTAATAAGGGCAAGACATGCACCAAAGGCCGTAGACCTGCTCAGAAAGAGCAGACATGCCCACCCCTGCCATGCCCTTGATGTGTTTGGTGTTTGGGAAGGTTTCCCGGAGAAGACCTTCAGGCCGAAGCTGAAGCAGAAGCACAGTCACAGAAAGGAGGAGTGAACCAAGCAGAAGACCACTGCTGGTCCAGCGCCAGGAATGTTAAAGTGAATGGCCACTGACAGTGCTTGGAGATCAGCACGCAGGATGGTCCTGAGTCTTTGACATGCGCATTGAGATTTTGCTCGAAAGTTCCCTTTTGTCATTTACACGCATAGCATGAGGTGCTTTGAATACACACAGCACTTTGTCCCTGAGGCCTGAGACGCTTGTCTCCTGCCCCACATGAAAGACCCAGCAGTGCCAAAGCTGCGTGCTCAAGGCACGTCCTTTGGCCACTGGCTGCTGAACCTCAGGTGAAGGCGTCGCCATCTCCCCCAGTCTCTGACCCTCGCAACAAGGCTCTCACCCGCCACTCCTGAGTCTTCCACAGGCCAAATGCGCTGCACATTGAACAGCGTCCTGGAGCCAGCTGCTTGCTTCATTTCCCGGCACTGCCTCTGTCCCATTTCAGGTCATCGCCGTCTCCCTGAGGACCATGCCCCTTCCTGTCTGTCACCCATTAGTAAACAAACTCTGGCTCAAAGTTTTGACCTGCCGAGCTGCAATTCTGCTTCTCTGTGCAGACCAACCTTTCCACCAATTTCCCACACCCCCAGAAGCCTTTCAGGCTGCCGCACCATTGCATGAGCCCCTATCCTCAAGGATCTAGGCCAAGTACAGTGGTTGTGGAATTCCTTTCCCCATGCCTCTCTTGGCCTCTGTGTTTTACCCGAAGTTCTGGACTGTGGACTTCAGGGAGCTAGGACTTCTCCTTACCCTTGTTACTTTCTGTCAAGCCTCTAGTCTGGTACCTCAACCCCGGAAGCACTAAGTAATGGCAGACACCCTTGGCATTGAACCCTGCCTCCTGTGTACTGACTGCAGATGATGCTTCTGAGAACTCCACAACCATGACCCACAGACTTTGAAGTTGAAGATGTTATGGAAACAAAATCCATGTTCCTACCTTAAGCCCAGTCTCTGCCTCAGCCTGTCTTATCCTGACTGAGGTCACAGTTACCTTTAGCTAGCCCTCATCAGACTCGGTCAACTTCTCCTGCTTCCAGCCCCGAGATAACCATCCCATCTGTCCAGGCCTCCTCCCTTCACCTCTCATCTAGGCTGGCACAGTAGTCCCCTCACTGCCACCAGAACTCTCTGAACGTAGCCATGATCATTTTTTAACCTGCTCAGTCATTCTCTCTTCTTGGGCCTCAGCCTCATGGTCTGATTTTAACTTATTCCCTGCCTGCTGCATGACCTGTATCCAGCCCCTACCAGCACCTGAACAGCTCAGCAAATGATGTGGCGAGGCTCGAGGCCCCTGGCTCATTCTCCTTCTGGAGTTCAAGCATGGTGCTCGGGAGCAGAAACACACCTTGTGGGCATGTTTCATGATCGCTTGTAAACGCATTAACAAAAGAAACCTCTCTTCTTCATGTTTTGTCATCTCCCTCACCAGCCCATAGTGATCTTCAATGAGTAAATAACTGAACGATCTAGGCCTGTCTTATTTCATCTCTCAGTACCAGCTTTTGAGTTTGTGCAAGGCTATATTTTGAGCTTGATATCTCTTCCAACCAGTGACTTGTACATAGTAGGTGCCCAATAATATTAACTTGGGCTGTTAGGGAATTCTTTCAGTTGAGTTCTGTTTCATCAAGGACAAAGAATGGCCTTTCTCATTTCTGCCCAGGGGATACATTTTCAATAAGCTACTCCTGCTTGGCTGTGTGCACGCACATCCATTTTGAAGCCATCAATGTAGCTAGCACTACCCACGGGTGAGGGCTGATTGATACTAACTGTAGAAGTAGTGAAAATAGTAATGAGCTGTCACTTCTTGGGATGTTTCAAGGAAATTTTTGCAATATTTAAAAGCGTGCCAAGGTTCTTGCAATGGAATCCTTTGATCACCAAGAGTATTTTCTTTTGAAATGTGCATTAACTTAGAATACCAAAAGAGATTAATCTTTCAACAGTGAGCCAGCTTACACAGGGAATAGCTGATTCTTCTACCAGTTGCTGTGAATACATGTGGCACTTATATTTCATTAGGTACCAGGACTTGGGGAGATTTCCTTCGCCTCTCTGATCATCATTGCATTCACTAGAAAATGGGTATTAAAATGCATGCCTCACTGATATGCAAGAATTATCTGACAAGAGTGCCTGCTGTGAAGCAGGTGTTCTGTGGATGTGGGTGACTTTGCTGTTTGGTTTATTGATTCAGGGATCTGAGGTGAGAATTATTGTTTAATGGGAACGGAGAGCCAGTTAACTCTAGCTGCCTGGACCTCTGCATCCAGTCTGCCAACACTGGCATCTGTGTGCTGTGGTGACGTGCCTACCTCCCAGTGCCCAAGAAATCTGGAATGAGATCTCTTTCCTCAGTGACTTGTCTGGTTCCTTTTTGTAGGTTACAGCACCATGAGCCCCCAGGAGGACAGTGAAAACCCTCCTTGCAACAATGACCCCTTGTCAGCCGGGGTGGACGTGGGCAACCACGATGAGGACTTGGACCTGGACGCCCCGCCTCAGACTGCTGCCCTGCTGAGTCACAAGTTCCACCACTACCGCCCACACCACCCCACGCTTCACCACAGCCACCACTTACAGGCGGCCGTGACAGTACACACTGTCGACGCAGAATGCTAACAATCCCCACGCCTCCGAAAGAGATGGGGAGCTAGGGATCCCAGGACATCCTGGATAGAAAAAGGGCCAGCATTTAACTCACAGCAAGAGACTCCCTGTGTGTGTTCGTGCTTTGCCCAGAGTGGTTGAACTCGACTTCCTGCCTGATGACGACATGTTCAGAAGCAAGAGAGACAACAGCAAGATCACATGGGGGAAGACCCAAGTTGATCCTGGAACAGAGGGAAAGCCTGATGAATGAACCCGCCATAATGCAAATGGGATGGAGTGAAGGCTAACCTCCAAACAGACGCAAACCTCTAAGTCGAGCTGAGCCACAGGAATGTTCCAAGGAGCCAGGGTCACCCAGCTGTGCTTAACTGGAAGAGGAATGTCTGCTCAAGCGGAGCCAGGAGACGCGACCTGACCAGATGGCAGCGTTTCTGCGCAGGACCTGGATAGCACGGGGCTGTATGAAACATGCGTGACGCTCTAAGTGATGCATCTCAAAATTTCTAAGTAAAGGATTATTTTTCTACTATTTATTGAATGTTCAAACATTCTCAAACTTTGGGAGAAAGGAAACAAGTGAAGTTTTTCAGCAGTTGTCCTGGAGCTGTTGTGTGTGTGTCATGGAGTGGGTCTTCAATGAAGACGTCTGCTTTGTTGCCTAACCGATCACCGGCCCGCTGCCCTACCCCCTCAGAACGGGACAATGAAGAATCTTCCTCTAATTTGTTTACATCCTTTCATGGAAACACATCTGTATTTGTAATGCAGTATTTCGCTGTGTATGGCAAGAAGGGGCTGAGGAATCCAAGATGCTTTAAGAAGTTTGATTTATTTCCACTCCCCCTGACAGTGCTTTGCTTAGGTTTCCACGAAAACTACTCATTCAACTGCAGCTTCTCCACTAAGGGAGAGGTAGGTTGGGTCTCCTTATTTTTAAAGACTTTATGAAATCTTACATGTCTCATTTTGTCTCTGAGACTTAAGTACAGAAGCAAAGAAGTTTTTAAAATTGTGAGAGTTTGTTCTTAAAGATTTCACTTGAAATCTTAGTTGAAAGCTGCTGCCAGTCATCTCCGAAGTTACCCACCCAACTGCTTTGTGATTCATATAGGGCTGCATCCAATCTGGCCACTAGAACATGAGGGTATTGTGATTTTACGGTAGTGTTCTAATTGCAGTGATGTATTTTAGATTCACATTTTGTGATTCAAATATGTTATAAAGACATTCTTGCACCGTGCGTGTGGTAAATCTTCGTTTATATGTAGTTGGAAAAAAACCCACAGAATAATGTTTTAATGATAGGGTGTCACAATATAATGTAAAAATGTGGTTATTAAGCAGCACAGAAAGTATCCATGTGCTATCAGGAAACCCCTTCATACTGTGTATAAAACTGCAGTCTAGTTCAATAAACTGTGTGCGATGGACAGTTTCGCTGGCTGCCGTGGTGTGTTCATGTGCCTCTTGCTGTGTTCAAGGCAAGTCACGTACGTTTTGCCACCTAGCAGCAGATCAGTTGCCAAACTGAGAGCGGGCCTCCTTTCCGTGGGACAGGCGACCTCGGTGCTTCTTGCTCATCTCAGACATGCATAGAAATGCAAGGATATAACGGGATGAAACACAAAGCTAACATTTCAAAACATAGAGGTTCCCCCCCCTTTCCCAAGAATCTCAGTCTGTATCCTTGATAATAAATGGTATTGTCTAAGGCCTGGGGAGAGTGAATGAGGTTCCTATTCCCAGAAAATTGAACTTCTCCATGGGTTCCTACTTTTTGTTCAAATTGACAATCTCTGCTACAAAACTAGCCTTTTGCGTAAAGGAGAGTGGCAGAGCCACCTTGGTGTGTTCACAAGAAGAATCAACAAAACTAAAGGATGAAATACCAGGGCTTCACGTGATGGCGCAGTGACTAAATCCTTGCCTTGCATGCACTAGGATCCCACATGGGCACTGGTTCATGTTTTGGCTGCTCCACTTCCCATCCAGCTCCCTGCCTGTGGCCTGGGAAAGCTGTCAAGGATGGCCCGAGAAGCCTTGGGACCCTGCACCCATGTGGGTGGCTCCTGGCTCCTGGCTTTAGATTAGCTCCGCTCCAACCATTGTAGCCGCTTGGGGAGTGAAGAACCAGTGCATGGAAGATCTTTTCCTCTGTATCTTCTTTCTGTAAATCTGCCTTTCCAATAAAAATAAATCTTTATTGTTAAAAAAAAAATGAATTGACAAGGATACTTTTCAAAGGTCATGGGATCTGGAATTTTTTTAAAAAGCTTTAGTGTGGGTGTTGCATCTACTGGTAGACACAGGTTGGCGTGCTCCCCTTCCAGACCCGAGTCTCTGGGTTCACATCACAGCCCCTCCCCTCCACACACACCCGCGCGCGCGCACACACACACACACACACACACACACGTTCCAACTTCCTTCCAGTACATACCCAGAGGCTCTGAGGCCAGGGGGGAACCAGTGGATCTCTTTCCAACTCAAGTAAGTAAATAAGATGCTTCAACAAATAAGAGAAATAATGGGTTTATTTAGGTGCAAAGCAATTTTTTAATCCATGCAGGTTTTTTCCTAATATGTTTGTATGGAATTTCCAAAAAAACCCTTTCTCTCCATGGATTTCAAAATTGTTTGCACCAAATAAAATTCTTTTTATCTCCATTTCCCACAGAGGTTTTGAAGATTGCTCGTATGTATAGCTTATTCAAATGTAATAACAAAAAAACCTCATCTTTTGTGATAAAACTATGATCCTGGGCCCGGTGCAGTAGCCTAGTGGCTAAAGTCCTTGCCTTACACATGCTAGGATCCCATATGGGCACAGGTTCTAATCCTGGCAGCCCCGCTTCCCATCCAGCTCCCTGCTTGTGGCCTGGGAAAGCAGTGGAGGACAGCCCAAAGCTTTGGAACCCTGCACCTGCATGGGAGACGCGGAAGAGGATCTGGGCTCTTGGCTTCAGATCAGCTCAGCTCCAGCTGGTATAGCCACTTGGGGAGTGAATCATTGGATAGAAGATCTCTCTCCTCTCTGTATATCTGACTTTCCAATACAAAAGAAAAAAAATCTGATCCTGAATTTCAGTCTAAGCTGAACTCGTAACAGAGATTTTGTCGATGCCTTCCCGTTCGCCAAGACTTTCTGACACTTGTAACCAACACTGCTTATCACAGAGCTGCAGGGAGGGATCCAAAGCCGAAGGTTCTAGGTCCCTTTGTGGAGCCAGAAAAGGAATTTCTCTATGTGACTCAAAACAAGGCTCATTCCTTTACTCGTCCTCATGGTATGTGTTCAGCTGCTTTTCAGATTATTTTAGGAATTTGACAGAGCACGGTATTTTTCATTCTTCTACTTGTTGACTTAATCTGAATGTTCAGACTAAACCGAAGCACAATAGTCCTTTGAAAAACATCCGATTTACCTAGGTATATTCTGCCTAGCAGAGCGACCGTGGGCACAAGGAAAGAAGCGCTGGAAGGTCAGTTAAGCCCAGTTTCCCATGGCAACACTGCTCTGATAATGTGCATCGGATCAAATAATTACTGTCTGAAAAAACCAGTCCAGGCTGCTCTGTTTCTGAACAAGAGACGTGATTTTCCTAGCTGAGATTAAATGCCATGTTAAAAGTTCTTTTTTCAGTTAGAATCTTAAACGATATTTTTTAGTTCTACCATTTGTAACTGTAACAGTTAGACACAATAGAGGTTTTGAGATTTAGTCAAGTTGCTCAATAGATTCCTCTCCTCTCATTTTTTTTCATTCATTATCACTCCCTCCCCCAATGGAAAAATATTAATTTCATTTAAATTCTTAATTAAGCTAATTAAATACTGGGGTAAGAATTTATTAGGATTATTCTTGGACAACTGCAAGCCATCCTGTTAGCTGATCTCCCATGAGAATCCATCTTCACCATCTGCTAGACAGTACCTTCCACTGTCAGTGTGGGCCTTCGGGCAGGGAAGGCTTTCTGAACTTTGACCTCAGCACCCTTGACACTCCTCACTGCTTGATGGAACTGAGCCCTCGATGGAAAGCAGCGATTCGGGTTCTGAGTCCAGGCTCAAAACACTTAGCATTCTTCTCTCTCATTCACACCCTGCTAGTTGCAGAGCTCAGATTCTTTGATTAAACAAGGATCGGTTGCATTCATCAATTCCTTTTTTGAAATTTTGTTAGCTTCACCTGTTGAAAAGCAGAGTGCTCTTCTAACTGCTGATTCATTCCCCTACTGCCTGCCATAAGCAGGATCTAAGCCACCCTGAAGCCAGAACCCTCCGCTCCATCTGGTCTCCCATGCAGGTGGCAGGAGCCAAGCCCTGAGCCATCATTCCTCTCCTCCTAAGTTTGCATTACCAGGAAAGTAGATGAGAAGCACAGTGGCCAGGACCTGCACCCCCATTTGTGATGCAGACCCCCCCCCCCGCAAACAGCAGCTCAGTTTAATTTGTCTCCTTTCTTGTGTACATGACTGGTTTGCAAACCTATATGCTTCAACAGAATCATTGGCCTCCAAACAGGTCCCGCAATTTTCCATTTCTTTATTCAACAAATATTCATTGACCCCTCCCACCAGTAAGGCGCTGTGTCTGGAGCTGCATCTACGAAACGAATTGAACAGATACAGAGTGTTCCCTTCGCTAATGTAAAGATTTATCTGGATCAGTGTTGACTCCCCGGGGTTTATCTCTTCTTCCACTGTCAGGTAGTCATGTGATCCACTGGCCCACTTCAGTCTTAGGGCTGGATTTCTTGTTAGCCCTATGACAAGCATAAAAAAAAAAACCTACTAGTTTATTCAAAAGCTCATACAAAGCTACCAATGTAAAGCATTCTTGAGATAGCTCAACTGCCTGAACCTATGCCTGCAAGTGCCAGCCAGCATCCTCCTGCAAGTGCCAGTTCATGTCCCGGCTGCTCTGCTACCCATCCAGCTCTCAGCTTTTGGAGAGCAGAAAAGGATAGCCCAAGGTCTTGGGACCTTGCCCCGACAGGAGAGTCCGAG